CAGATTTAGGATGCTTTTTACATCGTATCTCTCGGTTTGGGTGAGACATCCAGACAGAACAATTAAGGTTTTATTTCATCCCGGAAAGCTGAACACACTTGTTCCAGTCCAGCAGGTTTTCAATTTCCACTGTGCCTCACAGACAAAGATATATGCCACTCACTGGGGAAAACAATGTAAGAGAAGAAAAGTAGGTGGGAAAATCTTCACTGTTTTTCATTACTGCTTTTGAATGCAAGCCTTTAGCCCCAGATGTTAGACAAAAGGTCACAATGCAAACCACAAAGGTGGTCCAGGAGGTCAGACTTCCTAGATGTTGCTGGTGACTGGCATTACAAAGCAAAAGCAGAACATACTCCAGCTGCTCAAGAACTTGAGTTACTTTTGAATACTTTTTTTTTTTAATACTTTTGAATACTTTTTGAAGACTGTTTTTTGCTTCTCCATACAATTTTGTAATGAATGGTCTCRATCTCAGCATAATCAAGCTCTGGAAAAAGAATATTCCTAGGTGTGCCACTAAGGTCAGATTGATGATTCTTTCACATCTTCTCAGGTGTGTGGGGTTGCAAAAACTCTGAATCCTTCTGTATAGAATGAACTCATCAGCAGTCAAAAATATGACCAGAAACCAATTCTGGCCTTCATTAGATACAAATCGGTCTCAACCTACAGGATTCAGTGGAGCCAAAAGATGGTCTGCAAATTAGGGCCAAACTTACTTTGTCACTTCTGAGCCTGCAATGAAYGACAGTCTGTGTCTCCTGCAAGATTCACATTTGCTTCAGTGGAGTTCACTGGAGTTTGTTCAAGTCCTTGAYGGATAAAGGGAAAAGAAAGAAGAAAAAGAAGGACACAGAAAAAGGTACTGTTCTCCAACACTGGTTATTGGTGCAAGCAGAGTTTATTCGCTTATAAAAATTGGAAACATTCACCACTAAGAGGAGAAGCCCACTTACATTCATATACAAGCCCATGCTCTTTAGAAAGGATGAAGAATTTATTCTTGAAGAAATGGTTTACTTTAACATTTATAAGCACTGGAATATACATATTTTAAGCTTTAAAGAACTTAATAGCTTTGGATTTTATGGCTAGATTACAAGGAAGCCTAACACAAAAGACAATAAAACGTAAATCTTGCAATTTCTTTTTAAAGATTACCATGAAAGTATCCAGAGGGATCCTCGTGGGTGCTGATTTGTAACCCAACTCAGACCCAGCTGAGATTAATGGTACAGAAGGATTCAGCACTGACACAGCACTACCCCACTAATGCTGACGCTGTGTGTTAGGATATTYTACTCAACTTAAAATGTCAGTGACTGGGTCCCTTTGTGCCTTTCCCTGACAGACTCGAAAGCACTCTGCTGCCAGCTGTATTTTTCCATGTGTATCAACATACAATCACTCAGTACAGCCTCAAAATTCCCTTTCATTCACTAAGGTCTGTTAGCAGTTTATCACCAGGCTTGATTTCCAGTTCTTGGCTAAGTTTTCTGGACTGCCTTGCCTGGACTGAAGCCATGAAATGAACACACTGCTGAAGGAACTGCCTTACCAATGCTGCATGTAAAAGAAAGAWACCTTCCCTGTGTTACTCTGTGCTCACCTTCTTTATAAATTCATCACTGGTCAATTTAATCAGACCACTATATTAGAGGTTCAGGGTGAAACTATCTGCTATGATGACCCTATATGATTTTCCTGAGTCAGAACACTTTAAGACAAGACTTTTCATGCTACAGCTATTTCCCATACAGTCCCAGTGTATTAGCTGGTATGGCTGGACTGTGATCATTTAATTCGGTGATTGGGACCATTCTGTACACGTGACTTCGTTATTTACTACTCAACAAGCCTCTGCCATCTGCATATTTAACTGCTTAGACCTATATTACCATTTAGATGGCCAATAAAATAATTAGAAACTTTGATTAGATTGATTAATAATCATTACAATGATTTTTCCCACAAGATCAGTTTTTAAGCCACTTTCTAATCTATCAATATGTGCCCTGCTAATTTCTATTTTATGCTACAATGCTTATTTTTAAACATTATGAACATGACTTTTTTGCTCTTCTTCATGGTACTATTTCTTTGTTGGTTCAGAAACTTGGTGGTTTCTGAACAACTCCCTGCCTTTGTTAACATTTCCTTCTTCCCAGTTACTCTCCCTGTCATTTATGCCAAAAATTCCTATCAGCTCTGGGACAGTGTCCCTCTCACACACAAAAAAATCTGGATATATCTATTACTGCATAGTGCTATTTTTTGTTTGCATAAACTAAGTGTGCCAGGATCATGAGTCACCAGGCAACTGCTAATTTATAGATCAAAGCTGAGCTCATTTCTGTCGGTTAGCATGACGTCCAGTCCTCAGCTGGCTCAAGCAGTTACTGCAATAACAAAAGACTGTGAAAGCAGTATCTTATCTATTGTTTTCATAAGCAGTAAGGCAGTTTTATTAGTTTGTTTGTTTCTTTTTTTAATCTCCCTGCATGGGACTTCCAAAAGTTATCCCCAAAGCATGATTTGAGATAATCCCCAAAAATGATTTGAGATAATTCAGGTTTTCCTCCCACATGTTATCCAGTAGTTTGCCGTTGTGCCAAAGGGAAATTTCATATAGATGTCCAATGCCTATGTCAGTTTTTCTGGGCAGTCACCCAGAGCAATGAGAAAATGCTACGATCCAAATGATCCAGAAATAAGCAAAATACAGGGCACAGGCTTACATATTCTGCTTTATATGCTCCGATTTGCTTCATTTACCTTAAACAAACGGTGAACAGTTTCSTGTAAAATCCAAGGAGTTTTAAATACAGCCAAGAAGCAGAGCGTGGTAGCATTGAGGTCTGCTCTGTGGCACAGGGAGGCAGCCAGGGCTGCTCGGAAGGGTCCTGTCCACCCAAAACTCACAGTCAGGAGCTGGTTCTAGATTAAAACAACAAACATTATACTCATTATTCCACTGATATTATTATATTAATACATATCATTATTGTGAGCGAAGAGGGATATGCTTTTAAAGTGATAATTCTGGGTTGTCCATAACCACTGCCCATCTCCAGCAACAACATACTTGAGATGAGACGCTTTTATCCCATGCCATCCTACAGGTGAAGCTGTGGCTTCCCAGGAATGCACACCAGAATGTCCCAAATAACATCCATGAATGCCAGTGCCAAAAACAATCCAGTGCTCTTCACAGACTGCAAGATACAGAAATACCCCAGCAATACCTAGCAGGCACAGCCTGTGATTACAAGCAGCATTATTTTAATGCTGGTGACCTTTCTAGAAACATTTAATGATGACTGCTTCACAATCTCAGTGAAAACAAATCACCTCCCATCCTATAAAACCAGAAAAAGGCAGAGGCAGAAAGGCATGTCCATGATGCACAGTGACCCATGAGATGYGGGTAAGCATCAGCTGCAAAAGTTTCTCTGCTGATCAGCAGAACAAGGGCAGCTTCAAAGATAAATAAGCAAAGCTCCATCAGCACTCAAACAGYCGCTTTGACTCTGCCATAAAATGGTTTCAAATTATACTGAAAGGCTTTAGCAGAATTAGAGCAGAATGTGCCGGAGCAGAAGGTGAAAGATAACACACTTTAAATGATTAATTCCATCAGTTTAAGTTTAAAAATCCTTTGCGTTAGAAGCAACTAGCAACTACCGCCAGGAAAAAAATGAAAATATTATATATGTAAATATTCTGCGTTTCAACAGCTTTAGAAGAAGCCAACACAGAATTATCCAGCAGTAACATTATCTGGCTCTTAATGAGCTGTGCTGGTGATTAATATTGTAATGCGGCCCCACATGTTTGCTGCCGTTGAGGAGATTAGGGATATTATGCACAGAGGTTGAGGCAGCCAGAGCAGGTCACCCTGTGACGACGGAGTCACTAGAAAGGACTGAAGGGATTTCACAAAGACGCTGATTTTTTACAGTAATTCCCCTCATCTTAAAGAGTGCTTCCCAAGCAAACCGTAATTCAGACATCGAAATTAATCTTTAAGCTTTAGTCACTCTGACAGAAACCTCAGAGCTACGTGCTTGAAACGAAAATAATTGCATTTTGCTGCTGTTTATACCTATACATATCTGGATTTGCATGAAATGTCCAGCTTATCAAATGCTTGATCTTTTTTTTTCCCTTGAATTAGAAAGCTGCAGTTTTCATTGCATTTCTTTTTTAAAGTTGTTCCACTGTTTATCTCTTAGGAGCGATGTTAATTTGGGAGGGCAAATTTAATGCCCTAGATTTGCCGTATTTTCAGACTTTTAACGTTTTTTTTTTCCCTGTAAGTGAAGTGTCGCACCTGTAGACAAGGGAAAACAAGACCTGGCAGGCACGTTTTTTACAGTGCAGAAATGGACGGCAGCCGCCTGCTTTACATGGAACCGGAGGGACATCTGGCGACATGAAGTAACACTGCAAGTGAAGGGCCACCAAAAGGCTTATCAGCCTTCTGAGAGCTACAAAAGCTGCTGGAGCAATATTTCCCCCCCCCCCCCTCCAAGTGGAAATGGGTAATAAACCTAAAACGGCGACTTTAAGAGGGACCCTCGTGAGTTTGAACGAAGCGGCCCCAGGGGGTGAAACACCCCAAGGGGGGGGGGGGGGGGGGAGGGAGGAGCCACAGGCGTTGCGCGGGTGCGCCGGCGGTGCCCCTTCCCGCTGCGCATGCGCGAGGAGGAGATCGCGCTCTGCGCATGCGCGGAAATAGCGTTGCCCCTGCCTTTCACCGCCCCTCGCTGAGGTAACCGCCATTTCCACGGCCCCGCCCCCGTGTTGTGTTCTCGCCTCTGATTGGTCTGTCCGTGGGAGGGGGCGAGACGGTCGCCTAGGAGACGGGCGCAGCCGGCGGTGCTTAGGTAACGGGCCTAGGCGCCAGGTACGCGGCTCGCGCAGCGGGGTCGCCCCCGTTAACGACCCCCATGTCCGCCCATAACTGCCCCTAATATCGTGTCCTGCCCTCAGCTGCTGTGACTGGATAAAATATTTTTTTTTCCCCTACCCTAAATTACTGGCTAGAGGCCAGAAGCGCTCATTTAATACGGTGGCAGGGCTTCAACGGCCACAGCGATGCGGTGGTGCATTTGGAGTGACTAAAATGCTCTTTGGGGGTTGCTTTGTGTGGACTGTGCTTCACCTAAGGTGTAAATGCCYTCATGGGAAAGAAGCTGCCTCAATCGCACAGATAGGTTGGTAATGTGAGATTAATCACAGCTGCTCTGTGTTTGAAATCTTAGGGCATTACACTTTTAATTCCATACAGATCATTTCAATGTATTTTCCTACATGTGAATCGGATTATTTTTGGCAAATTATAAATGTTTTTTTCATTTATACAGTGCTTCTGTGCAAATGCAGCTTACTGAGCCCAATACCTGTATAATTGGGTGCAATTCGTCATCTTTCTATATGGAGGTGTGCTGCAAATACCTTATCCTATAGTACTACTTSCTATACTGTCAGAATCTAAAAATATTAATTAGAAAAATAATTAACTTCCATTGTAACCACACCCTTGATTCAATGGGAAATACAGAATTTGGAACAAAGCCTGTGAGGGGTTTAACTTCCTTTCAAACTGCTTGAAAGTTGTGTCACTTATGAAGGTGGATACATAGCTGATAATTATACTGTCATTTTCACAAGAAAATACTAAGAAATGAATAATCACTGAGGAGAAGGCAAGAGATGACGCAAAGTGATAACCAAAATCAAAACCTTGAGGAAATAATTAAGGAGCTGGTAAGATTATCATTTGTGTACGCTTTTAATTTTCTCTATTTTTAATAGTTCTATAAATATGTGTATGCCTTAGCTAGAACATTATTTTAGAATATCTTGACTGTGATGTTGAGCATGCATTAATGATGTTCACGATGGTCTAAAGGTTTCAGAACTGTAGAGACACACTAGGAGTTACTCAAGGAGGATTTTTAAGGTACTATTTATCTKTTGTCTCCTTTTTTTGGTGGCCTACCTTGCAGAATATTCATGTATAGGAACAAAAACATTTTTTTTGGTCTTTTAATATAAATTTGATCAAAGTAGTTCATATAATTTTGACTCAGTCATTGATTTACATGAGATAGTTGTGAGCAGAATTGGGTAGCTAACTAAGACAATAAGAATTTTAYCTATTATGGTGTGGAGTTTTGAAATGCTGTCCAACTCCAGAGTAAGTCATCTCAACTTAGGTGTCCATTGATAATTTTCTTTATATGCATTTGTTTTTTCAGCCCTCATTTCAGACGACAGAAATCTATCATGCAATTCATGCATATCATGCAATATCATGCAACATTATTATATTGATTTAATAGAATCACTTCAGAAGTGAARAGCTACAAGAGTGATAGAAAACACCATCTATTCCCGTTCCTACACATACATGGATGAACATATACAAAAACATATACTAGTTTACTGAGAAAGTTATACATTTGTGGTGGTTTTAGTTTTCATTAATGTTAGCCTGCAAAAATTATTTTGTTTTGAATTGAAAGTCTATTTACTTACGCTTTTTTTTTTTTTTTTTTGTGAGCAGAAGAAAACTTCTTAACCATTTATTCAATATAGCCAAAATTGCAAATATGTCTTAGAGCAGTTTTTAAAAGACACAGTTGCTTATAAGGAATTGACTCTAACAACCCTTCAACATTCTGCTTCATAATGTGTATTTCACAATAGGGACATAAAATGAATAAGAGTTGCCTTTCATTTCCAGTGTGCATGTAATGGATTATCTTACGAGAAAGTTGATCAAGAAGGACTGAAAATAACGGCACTGGAGATGTTTTTCTCGGGTTATCCCAAAATAGTAGGAATGAAATATTTCCCAAATTTGACTAAACTCACTCTTCTTGGGCAAAGGATTCCGGAGATTTCAGATCTGGAGCACTGCCTGTTCCTCAGAGAGCTGTGGATTGCTGAATGCTGTTTAGTGGTAAGTTAACTATTTCTAGTTAACTCTGGTTAGATAATAGTAAGTTAAGGGTTAACTATTCCTAGCCATCTTTGGATAAATTTATACCTTTACAAAGATTATCATATTCCTTCATGAGCAGTTCCTCATCTGTTCAAAGAAGAAGGTGCTCTTTAAGGGAGTCAGGATTTGGTACCTCTTTACTAAAGTATCCAGTGATCTCATTACAAGCATGGATCAAATTACCTCAGTTAAACATTACAGGTTYTGTATTTTGGAATCTATCATGTTTTTTTTTTTCTTTCTTCTATTAGAGAAATTTTTTTTAAAAACTACAGTAATTGCATCAAAACCTTTTTCAGGAAGGTGATTACGATGAAGATATTTCAGTGAAAATAACACTGCCCTTACAACACACAATTTATTAGGAAGCATTGTAACTTCTATAGCTTTTCTTTGCTTTCTATAGCTTCAATTTTTTAATTGAAAAGGTTTCTAAATCAGTAGAATTCTGCTCTGTGGGTATGGTCTCAAATTATTTGGAGTTGCCTTACTATTTTCTGTGCAAGTTAATGACATATAGACAAAAGGAGTGAAGTTTTGTTGTTTGGTGCTGCAAATTAATACTTCTTCTATTGCAGAAAATACATGGGCTACAAAAATGTGTGCATTTGGAAAAGCTTTACCTTTATTGCAATGAAATTTCCCAAATTGAAAATCTGGAAACCCTATCAAAGCTGAATGTCCTCTGGTTGAATAATAATCTGATCAAGAATATAAAAGTGAGTCTGTGGTAAATTATGATTTATATCCTTCCAATATGTATAATGTCTATTATATCTTCCAATATGTATAATGTCTATTATATTAATGAAATAGTACCTACATATATCTAATAACTGGGACTTATTTTTACAGTTACTGAACAAGAGAAACAATTTTAAATATCAATACATAAGAATTAAGTCTGAAACACTATTTGGAAATAAAAGTTTTTTGTGCATCCTGTGTTATTTAAGTCATTTTTAAGACCCCTGTGATCCATGATGATAAGAATATTCTTTGGATTGTTTTCTTTTAACTCTCTAGATTTTTGTCTGCTCTTCAGTGTGGAGAAATAAACTCATATTCAGAGGAAGTTTTATCTCAACTTTTCTTCATTCTGTCATATGAATATTTGGTGTCCTTGCTCCCTACCCAAAAGTTAATACTTTCTGTGCTAACCTTATAAGTGGACACTAGTCCAGAACAAGAGAGAATTCTGGTCAGCCCTTTAGCATGTAGAGACCATTTAGTGCCTGAAATACTTCATTTTTACTGCCCAAACAGGGTCAYAGAAGTGCTATTCCCTTAAGCTCTTCCCTTAGGAGAGTCATGAAAAGATACATTACCAAGATAAAAGTAGTAAGAGCAGGAGATGCTGCTAAGGATGAATGGGAGCAAATCTTCCCAAACCTTGAAGGCCATGAAGAAGAGGAAGGAGAAATTGAAGCTGGACACAAAGGGAAAGAAAGAAAAGAGAGACCTAAAATTACAACTGGCAAAGAGCCAGTGTTTCCAAATTATTTTCTTTTATTAGAGAGGACACAACAAATACTAGTGGCATCCCACTGCAAAGGACTTCAGTGACCCCATGGAGAGAAGTGACTGACATGGGTGATTTAACTGCCATGATGATATCTCCAAGCCAATACACGGGCTGCAGTCAAAAGCTAATGAGTACTCGTGATATGGAGCATGATCTATGAGGTTCCTCACACACAGCTATGAAACAAGGAGCCAGGGAACTATGTTTATTTTCATTGCAGTATCATTTACAAAGGCTTTCTCATTGGGCCATACATATTTTCCCTTTTCATGTCAAAAGAAAGCTATAGTTTAAAACAGAGGCTAACATTATTTAGACTCCAGTCAAGTCTGTTTTTACATTTGAATGATCTGCCTTTTAGCCTACAGGCTCTTCAGCATTTGCAGTGCTGTATTAGATTAAAACTGTATTGTTTAAAACATTCACAGGGCTTACATACTCTGCAGAATTTACGAGAGGTCAACCTCGCTGGAAACTTAATAGAAAAAATAGGTAGGTGATGTCAGGCTGGCATTTCTAACATGAGCATTCTCATTGCTACCAAGGATACATGTACATGATTTGATGTTTCATTCCAATAAAAAAACCCATAGCAGCTTGCATGGTTAAGAATCATGTCCAATTCCTTTGTCTTGACCATCCCAACGCTGCTGTCAAAAGTCCATCGGACTGACCATAGTTTATACAAACTCTTTGTTACTGCTGGAGCCATGTCAAAGGAGGCAGAACACAGGTATGGGTGGGAAATGTGAATATGACGCATATCTCTTTTTCTTGTTCACTGCCTTTAGTATACAGAGCTTTTAGATTAAGTTTAAATCATGCTTGCTTGTTTTTAATGGGAATGTAAATCCTTCCTGCGTCTCTAAACGTGTAATAGATAATCTATAATAAATAAAAGGTGGTGTATATATATACACACTATTCCTACTCTTTAATGAATGTAAATAAATGTAAAATTGTATATCGTGTTTGACATAATTGTTTCTGTTAATGAGGTATGTTTTTTGAGGTGAGGAGGGAAATTATGTGGTTAAAACTAATCCACAGGATGAAAATGCAGCTATCCAAATGAATAATGCAAATAATTTTTGTTAATTGTTGTTTATTTGGTGTTTAACTTTAGGAAGTTGTTTGGACTTCAATGTACAAATTGAAATATTAAACCTCTCTGCAAATAAACTATCTTCCTTCAAGGTACGTTCAGACTTCACATTTAATTTTGAAGTTTTTGATTGGTACAAGGAAAAGAATTGATTTTTCCTTATGATATTAGAGATTTTGGTAGAAAATACCCACTGTGCATTTACAACTCATATGCTTTCCACTCGAGGTGGTCAAGTTTTAAGTCTTGAACATGGAGGAACATATTTTTGGGGAAAAAAATAAGTTAACAGAAGCAACATCTTGAGTTTGAGAACATAAATACAATCAAGTTCCAGGTTTCATGGCARGCGTTATACAAATGATTAGTGAGCTTGTCCTTGGATTTGAGAATGTTAACTTAGCCATAATGATATTTACCTGGCTCTTTTGCACTTCAGACATGCACCCCTCTATTTTTCCAGGTGTTTGTGAAAGTGTTCTAAAACTAGGCTTTCCTTGTGGAGCATTTTAAAATTTTTGGTGTCAGTGGTCTGACATCTTTATTTCAGGCATGAGAAAGATCTAGCCTGATTTTCAGGTTTCATCACTTTAGAAATTCTAGAGTTATTTCTTCACAGACTGACCTTCCTTTTCCAAATATCCTTCACTTTCTTTTCCTGAAAATTTTTAGTTTTCTCAAAAAAATTCTGCAACCACAAAAAAAATCTCTAAAGCTTTAGGTGAGTATTAAAAGATATCCAAAGTTTCACAAGGTCATATTCACAAATACTGTTGTATCTTAAATACTTTCTTTCCTCTCTTTTTCATGATAATTCTTCATTCAGTATAGACATGTATAATTAAAATCTAAGTTAGTCATAGTACTTCAGCTAGTGTTTTTAATAAAGAGTAATGGCATGATGTTACAGGGTTTTTTTATTTTTTTATTTTTTCAGGAACTCACTAATTTGTCAAGACTGTCTAATTTAAAAGATTTGGGCCTAAATGATCCTCAGTATGGGCCCAACCCTGTTTGTCTTCTTCATAATTATGCTATCCACGTGCTCTATCATATACCTCAGCTTCAAAGGCTTGATACATATTGTGTGTCTCAAAGGGAAATCAAAATTTTGGCAGAAGTAAGTTCAGATTTTACTTTGTAGGTGCACTAGAGGTACAAATGAAATCATTACTAATAACGAGCTCCTCTACATGACTTTCAGCCAAGATGGGTGCCTGGTGTTATTGTTTAGTGCTGTGTTATGTTGTCAAAATTTGAAATTTATCAAGGATCATCAAATTTTTGATGGTGAGGGTGATGGTGCGAAAATCTGAGTTAAAAAAAAAAATATGTTTAAGCAATAACCATTATTATTATTATTATTGTTAATGATTATTATTATATTCTTATTACCACACTTATTACTATTAATCAATAACCAAAAATTTGAGGACTTAGAAAACTCCTTATATATTATTTTGGAATCTTGCAACTTCAGGAGTTGTAGTCCATGTTTTTTGAGTATTTCAAATTTATTGTAGTAGTGCACACTACTTCTGCATATTAATATATAGAAATAAGTATGCACCTGTATGAGTGCAGAAAGATGCAAGTTAGTTTGCCTTATTTCAGAAAAAGGAGTTCTTGGGAGCAAAAATTGAGACACATAAGAGGAACATTCACAACAGCAACTGTTCTCAAATGAGAAGTATAATTCTTGATTTAWCCAGAGTTCATTTTCTGAGTGATGTGATTGAAGTGTTTGGATGTAGACCAGAGCTAACTGAAGCATGTGGAGTGATTCCGTTTGAATCACAGCATAAGCTTCTTAGTTACAGTGTTCATACAATGGATGACAAAAGTGAGTGTTTTTAGTTTGTTACTAACTTATAACAAGGCCCTGTCCAATGACTGGTGTTCAAGTACAGTCAAAATGAAACGTGCTGTATCTGAAATTGTCTCTAAAAATGTTAATGGAATATATGTAACAATAAGGCTGTGATTTGCTGTCTTCTTCAGAAATAGGATCTATGAATGGTTGTATCATGTTCATAACTGATGAATAATTTCCCATTTTTCATTTTCAAAGACCACTGTTATGAAAAAAAAAATGTACTATAACATGCATGTAAAAAGCATTTATAGGCAGCTTGGTGGCAGACTTCGAAAGCTGAAAGAGAACAAAAGCAAGCTGCAGAATTTGCCAGAAAGTAAGATAAAATTGTTCAGCTGCAACATAAAACACGTAAGTTTAAGTAGCTTTGGATGTCAAAAAATGTATCACTTGGAACAAAAATACTGGTAACTTTGGGGTAAATTCTTGGATGGTTACATTCTTTTAATAGCTTCAGTCAAATTTTGTCTAGAGTAGATGTTTAATTTAGCCCATAATATTTACAACCTGACTCATTGATATGAATTAAAATATTACTTTTTAAAAAAGTAAAAATCTTTTTAGATCCTTAAATTATTTCACTTTCAGGTTCAGTAACACTGAGCAGCTTTTACTCATTTTAGCTGTATGAAAGAATTTTGATAACTGAAAATTCTCTTTGTGAGAAAGCTTGGTAAAACTTACCTTTAGTAAAATGTTTTATGAAACATATCAGTTTTTAGCAATGCTTGTAATAAATGAGTTTATAAACAGTTTCTAGTGGAAAGATAGCTTTTCTTCAGAAAAGCCAGAGGTAAAGTGTCTAGAACATTTAATGTATTTCAAGAGATGGATTTCCAGTCTCAGTTCTGCCATGTTCATAATTATTTGAATCTCTCTGATCCGTCACACTTCTGGTGAATGATTTGACCATTGGGCTTTTAAATGGAATGGCCCCACGATGAAAAGCTTAGAGATCTAGCAAACTGGGTAGGGTACTCATCTAGTGTGGTAAAATGAATTTCAAGTTGCTACTTTATTTGTCCAGCTCAGATATGCCTTGAATTTCCATGATGAGTTCCCAGATTATGAATATTGCTTGTTCTGTTTGATACAAGGAGAACTTCTGAAAAGTCTGTGTTCATATAGAAAATTTCAGGAGGTTCAAAAGATCTTTATCACTTAGATCACTTTATCACTTAGGCCCCAAGTTACTCATTTTTGATGAGTTAACCTTTTTTCTCAGAACAGTATAAACAGCATAATGGAGTCAGATTGTGGCTGCATCAGGGAAACCACAAAAATTTTAAAAAGTAAAAGGTTGATAGCACAGATTTTCTGTACAGTATTTTTTAAACATTCCAAGAAATCGTTAACGCACTCTGGGTTAACTCCTTTTATATGGAACAATAACTGGAAAATATATTGCTGATGACATAAATCAGTCCCTTCAAGTATTTTGTTCAAGAGTCAAATATTTTGATGAAGAGTCAACAGACCCTGGTCTCTTGCTAGGTCAGGGTATTATTTGGGCCTTTATTGTCCTTTCTTTGTCGAGGTTTTTACCATAGATCAGGCTTGCCTGCCTATGTAGACATGTGCTTCAGTGACGTTATAGTTTTGACAGGAGAAGTGCTCATAGTTGGTATGTATGTGAATATTTGGAATACTATTCACATTGGGGTGTGTAGGCAGAGTGAGATAAGTTGCTTTTTTTAATATGTGTTTTATAGAAGCCTAATTTCAGGAGTGAATTCCCTGCTTGTTATTAAAAATGCACGAGAGGTGGTTTATTCTGTTTTAACTCTCAGCCACACGGTGGCTGGATTAATCCTGAAGTTCACCTCTTAGCAAAGAACACAGAAAGGATTTTAACCTTTTTTACTTAGCTAAAATCTTCTCTTATGGGAGAACATAAATAAGGTAATTTTCATGCTGTACTTTAAGTTAACCTCTTTCCTCTGAATCCTGGTTCTTTTTGTCAGCTGGAACGTGAACTGGCTGAACTGCAAACWTTGGGCCAAACATCAAGTAATAAATATCTAAAGAGTAAGAAGGTGGAAACTGAAACTTCAGTTCATGACAGTGATGATGCAAATAAGGAGGCTAAAAAGTCCAATCTTGAAAAAGTATTCTTACAAAAAATAAATGCCCTGAAGGAAAGAATAACATTCTGGAACGGAAAACTGGATGAGTATGTTTAGTGAATTGTGTAAGAATAATAATCTGATGTCTTTGAACATTAATAATTGAGTGTAATGGTAGCTGGTAGTTAGGAGACTCACATTTGTCTCACATTTGTTTTAGATGAAGTTCAAACTGTGAGTACTACAAAGGTCATTGAAGTGGGAATTCGTATGTGATCTACATTATTGGATTTGGTCCGGTTGCTAGCAGGAAGACGTTGTCATTACAAAATTTGTTGCTCGGGATCTCAGTAAATAGGAAAAAGATGGAACAAAATATTGGGAATAAATGTGTTTTTTTTTAGACAAGTGCTTGGAAAGTTTTCTGGGCCTTTAAACATTACAGAGATTACATTTTTGTAGTTTTCTATTCTTAATTATGGTTTAGAACTTCATAAGTGAAATACAGCCTAAAGGCAATGCCTGGCCCAAGGATTATCTGCAGCATAAGCCCATGGGGCATGTGGGTGATATCAGTGGTGCCATAGACCTAGTGTTCAATGTCAGCACAGGTCTGAAGCTCTGTGAAATTTGTGGCCTTCACTTGGTRCTTGGGTCAGTCTGGTGGCTCATACTGCTCCCAAGTTCAGCAGGGTTTCATTAGTGCTGCAATTTAGAYTCACGCTTAAATAGCAAACTACTAAGTTCTCTTGCTCCAAGGGGTAATTCTCTTCAGTTAATGACTGCAGCACAATGTTGGGACTGAAGTTGATGAAAATTGCTGTGATGGATCAGAACAAAATCTTACTGTCCACAATTATAATCTGTACAATCCATCACTTTCAAATTTTTTAAAAATAAATAGTTCTGTCATTTTTCCTGTATCTATACTCATTTAAAAAAAAAAAAAAAAAAAGGAAAATGAATTCATGTCCTGTTGTTATGTTGTTCCAGGAAAAAAACTTCTCATTTCTTTTGCAGAATTGAAAAATATTATGAGAAGGAAGTTCAGAAAAAAAAGAAAAGTTTTAACTTGGTAGTACAATTTTTGTTGATGGAATTGGAAACAGTGGGAAACATTCGCTTTGAAGAAGGTTTATCAAATAATCCCTGGTAAGCTTTTTGAGATACTGCAACATAAACCCTGTTTCTTCTGTTTCTTCAACCSAAGTCAACCATTTTTAACAAAGCAAATTTATTACAGGGATCTGGAGTGTTCTGAAGCATCAGTGCTCCATTTAGATTCCATTTACAGGGAGCTGGTGAGAAGGGAAACGCACTCTCCTCTCTCCTTCTCCAGGCTATGTGCTAGGCTGAGGGTTTGAGTCTACAAAGACTCATTATTTGTTGCCTTTATTCTTCATTGCCCATTTCTGAAGCCCTTGATTTAAAAATAAAAGGAATAATAAAAGCAAGATAACCAAGCTACCCAATAGCTTTCAATAATAGCAATAGTGATTATTCTAAGTTCCTGGACAGCTTTGCTGGTTGTAAGGAAGCATTAGAAATTGCTTACCTAATCTTTGTATGAACAACCTTGACACTCTTTTGAGAGGAGATTGAAATTTAGGTTGGCAGTATTTCAAGGACTATTTTCTGCTCGAGTACCCCAAGCTTGTCCACCTCAGCTATGCCCTTTTTTATGGTCGGGGATGCTTATTAGGGCTGCAGGTAATTTCGTGTTTACAGGTTCCATTTGAGATTGTTTTTAAATAGCATTCAACTTTTAATGCCATTTTCTCAAGCTAAGGATCTTCTTTGTTTTGGCAAGGAGAAATTAATAAATGATCCTTGTAAGGGTGAAAGCCAGAGCAAATGTGTTTGCATCAGTAATCCTAGCATGGGATCTTTTCAATAAAGAGCAATATTTTTATTAATTGTAGTTAAAAAAAAATTACTTTGCCTATCTTCCAAGTGAACCTTCTACAAGTTGAAAAAGGAGGGGAGCCTGATGCATTTGTAGAATTTGTTTCTATTTCAAAGATGGTCAACTACCTCATAAATTTTAAGGAATCTTGCAGTGTCAATTGGAAAGAAAGGAGTTCATTAGTTTCCTGTTCAGTGGCAGAAAAAGAGAGCATGGATTTATTAAGTTATTTGACTTATATATGAAAGGGAGTAGGTGGTAGAAAAGAATGGCAAGTTTCTGCGCCTGGATTCTGGGCTGGCCAGAAGACCTCTCCTCCTTTCTCAAGTTTGACCACAGAAACCTTTGTGGGTTCTCACAAATTGTGTTCACTTTATATATAATAGTAGTGAATTTTGGGGAACTACTCATGTGCATAATGAAGAAGGATTTAAAAAGATTTTAAATACAACAGCTTTTCAGGTTAGTAAGTCCAGACTAATGAGCACAGGAATGTCTTCAAAACTATCAGTTCTCCAGCACACAATCAGTCCTTGGGTGTTTTAGTGCAAATAGAGAAAAGAAACATGGTGAATCCATGTAATTAAATATTGATGTTTGGTGCTTTATTTCACATGCAATATTTGAATGGAATGAAATATCTGTCTACAGCTGAGAGAACAAACTTACAGCAAAATAAAGCAGGTATAGCTTGTCATTCTTTCTTCTGAAGAGTAAATCAAAAATTGTAGATTGCTTTGCAATATTCTTGCAAATATATTTTGCTTGCTATATATAATTATTTATGTGTATATATATGTGTGTGTGTATACTGCAAATATATTTTGCTTTGTAAAACCAGAATATAAACTTAGTGCTCTCATCTGCACACAGGTTTAGTTGCTGTTGTGATCTAATTGAATCACGATATTGTTTCTGGGACTTCAGATCATATGGTTTCTCAGGAGTAAAAATAAATCGCGTCTTCAGAGTGCACAATCAAATTCTGAGGCTGAAATATGAAGAGAAGCTTCAAATGTTTCTGGAGAAAGAAGTTTTCAGTACAGCAGAGTAAGTGTCTAGGTTTTAAGAGCTCTAATGTAGGACTGATATGTGAACAAAAGAAATCATTTCACAGAATAGATCTATTTTGCAAAGCACTATGTAATTTAGAATTGCGAAGAAGTTTTACTGAGGTAAAGGTGGCTTGAAGTTCCCCAAAGTCCCTATACCTGTTGTTTCTCTCACTGTCCTAAGGTCTTCAGAGGTCTATAGCTTAGTAGAAAATACCAGACATGATACTTGATTCCATTTTCTCATTAGAATCTGGATATTGCCTCAGCTGCTCTAATGTGGTGAAAGCAGAGTAAATATGACTAAATTTCTGAAAGCAGTGATAGAAGAACAATGAAAAAACACTGCCCAGCACTACCACGAAAAAACAAACAAAAACACCAAAATATATATGCATCTGTATTTGATCTATATCACAAAAGAGCACATACATTAGGATATGCTAGGATATCCTAAAGATAAGTGCAGATTTTTCTATGCAGATCTCAACTTTTGAAATTGGTGTAATTGTAGTGATTTATTTCACTTCCAAGACTCACTCTGAGTCTCCTGATGCAGCCATGATATTTAAGCACTGTCCAAAGCAGTTCATAGAGCTGTGTCAGTGTAGGAGCAAGTCTTAGGGCACCTAGTTCCCCACTTAAGTCTATGAGCCAGAGCCCCAATGACATCCAGTTATTTCTTTACATATTGAGCAATTTCCTAGCCTGATGTGTCTGTTTTTATGTAGTTACAATTATTCTTATTACAACTAATAGAGTATTTTGCATTTCTTTATGTAGATTTGCTCTGTACGTATAAATATTTGTGCATGGTGTGAGTATAGAAAAATAAAAATAAAACAGATCAAATATAACTTCATGATGCTCAACATAGAGGGTGAAAAAATCAGAACAGAGCTCCCAGTTCAGTAGGTCCTGAAAGCCAGAAGCTGAATTTTGCAGAAATCAAATTTTGTCRTTTGTAAATCAGTCTGGGTCCTCTGGCTGAGAGCTGCTGCAGAGCTTGGAAGGAGCTGGAAGACCTTGTCAATCATGAAGGCAAAATCTTCTTTCCCTGAGGGGCAGCAGCTGGGTCGCAAGATTTGCCCAGCACATTCAGGACATTTTAGCTCCTATGCTTAAAACAAATTTCCTGGGGTTCAGTGCATGCCCTTCTGAGATGCAGTATTTCAGTCAATAGTGTGCTATGACTGAAGATAGAATAATTTTTTTTTTTTTTTTTTTTTTTTTTTTTTGATGTGGGAACTGTCTAGCCCTGATAAACACTCAGAGGTGCACGGAGATGATAAACATTCAGAGGTAAACAGAGATGGCCTTGTGGATCTTACTACCTTCCTTTTTTTTCTTTTTTTGCCTATAGATCTTGAAATAAAAGGTAGTTCCTCCATAGCTCAAATGCTGCTATTTGACTTCTGAGGGATCCTTCCAGCACAATGTGAAAGAGTTTTGTTCACCCCATGGTCTCCTTTACATGAGGTTGCAAATGCAAAATGGCTCTTCCTTCTAGAGCTTTACCTCAGATTATTTCAGATAGTAATCTGTACCAGACAGTTCAACTACCCACATCCTGCACTTTGTTCTCTCAAGAGRGAAGTTAGATTTTGATCAGCTAATGTTTTGAGGGTTCTTCTTATTGCCTAGAGAGAACAAAACTTTTCAGGAAGATCCCCAGTGCAGCCTCTATCATGTTGATAGGGTCTCCCCAACTGAATCTATCTGATTATTCTGTGTTAACTCCTAGCCTGGATTAGCCAGGTTAGACCCATGCAGTAGAGCCCATTGCAGCTTGTTTTAGGCAGTTCATACCCTGAGAAGCCTACTCATTTGCAAAGAAATATTTGCTGATCTGTTCATGCTTTCACTCAACATTGTTCTTAAAYTAAAATCTCAATTTAGTAGAGAAATCCTGCAGGAAATAATCAAATTCTCGTACTAGCCTGTTGACACTTGGAATGCAGTAGGTAAGTCACCAGAAGTGGCATTTTTATAGAAAAGAACAGTTTTCAATTATGTAGTATTCATATACAGTTGTGGTTCTTCTGTCAACAGAGATTGGACTATTCTCTTTCCTCTGGAGCAACTGTTACCTTTCAGCCAGGAATATCAGCAAAGTAAAGACTTGCTATTTTCAAGGAAAATAGAAATAGTGGTTTTTTTATATATATAATACAGGAAATTGGGATTACTCTTAGAAATTATAGAGAGGCAGGAAAAACAATTTTGTCTTGCAAGTGATCTTTTATGTATAACTTAGTGAACTTCAATATTATAKAATTTGTGTTAATTACAATCATTTTTTTCTAATGAATACTATGTGGTGCATAAACTTTGTCCGGGCCAAATGTCTGTTTTTGCCTTTTGCCTGCTTTTGCCACAGAACAATGACAAACCTTTCCCTATTTTGTATTGTTYTTATTAAGACACTACAAAGAGAAGGTGGATTATCTCTTTTATGTGTTTAATCCTGAAATGCCAGTTAATGACAMGCAGCTGCTACAGCTACTGGAGGATGGTTTCCAGGCGGAGGGGCACACGGTATGCTGCGCTGTGGACAGGTGAACGCTTCTGTTTAGCAAGATAACACAGCAGAGGGAAGTGCTGCTGCTTTCTTCMTTTCTCCTTTCATTATTCTCCTATTCGTCTTTCTTCTGTTCTCTTCCTCTCCTTTTATCTTATTTCTTCATGCTGCATCTGCTTCATTCTCCACATCTTTACACTATCTGCAGCCAAGGCTTGATTAGTTATTTTCCAGTTTTTCTCCTCCTTTCTTTGTCCATCCTCTTTTTGCTGCAGATTCTTTTCTCAGCACCTCTCTTCAGTGCCTCAGATCGAGTTTGCAGGGACTATGCCAGATTAGTTTGGAAGACTCCACAAACAGTGCTGCATCACCTGTATTTGTTGCCTGTGGAATAAATTGGGTCTTTGTTTGTTCAAGTAATTTATTTTACAATTTTCACTTGTATTTGTATGCAAACAGTGTTGTATTATTACTTAGYTCCTCCTCCCTGCCAATGCTGGCACAAAATCTAGCCAGAGATTTCAGCTCATGCAGTGCTAGTCATGGCATCTTGGGTCCTGTCTCACAAACCTGCTCCTAATTTTAAATCATTGCCTCCTTCTATTCTTAATGCTAAACTGAAACATTGCCCACTTATTTCTGATATCCCCACATAACTCTAGATATAAAGGCTCTGCAGGCACAGATCCTATTTGTCAACCTGTTCTAGTTTGGGTCATAATCTTAAGAACGGTCAATACTGTCACAGGGACCCCTTCTATCTTCAGACTGAAAACTAGCTAAATGAAAGAAATACCTGATTTTATGATGTGGAGGAAGAGTCTCTATTATTCTCATTTTCATCTTTCCAACCTCTTGCACACGTGCCAGAGATTGGATTTTTGAGGGAGAAGATTATATCTTCAAATCCAGTATTTATTGTACTGTTCTGCTTGTTTATATCCTGCTAGTTTTCAGAGCTCCCACTGAGCTCGCTTTCCATAACATGATATTCTCTGCAAGCATACAGGAAGATGCCCCTGTTCCAGAGAGCTGACAATCTGATTTCCTTTTCAGTTTCTCTTATTCTGTTGAAATTATTTTCTTCACTATTGTTTTTCACTCTTCACTTTTCCCTCCTGTCATCCTTTTTAAAAAAATTAGTGATATATTTGGATGCTGCTTAGAATTGGTGACATTTTTAAGGAATAGTCTTAATCAAATAGAGGTACTTGGACCTTGTTTTAATCTTTGCAGTTGCCTAAYGCAGAGGAAGCTGTTCCGCTCTGTAACAGTCTAAGCATCTGCGAATGCCCCAGGATAGAGTTTTTGAAAAAAMAAGCCAATACAGAAGGCAAAACCAGCAGTGAGCCTGAGGAGTCATTCAAGCAAGGTAATTCAGAAGTATGGAGGATGCAAAATCAATGACCTTGTATCAGTAATTKTTATATCTAGTGTTTTAAGTCTAAGGATATTTCATAAATACTACAGGTGGTCAGGAGGTAGCACATGCAGCAGCTCTGAAGGGAACTCTGAAACTCTGCTGAAATCCAGTGACATTTTTGTTTGTTAGGAAGCCCTACAAAGCACTTGGACTGCTGGGAGTGAATTTCCAGGCAAGAGTTAAAATGTCTGTGGAAGATGACATATCTAATTATTTCTCTGATTATGACAAATCTTTTCTAGTTCCAACATCTCAAATAAAATGGAGAATGAGGAAAGGCACAAATATATTGTGCTATCCTATGTCTAGGACAGGACGCTGAAAGGAAAAATAGCAGCCAATCTCTTTCTAGCCTGGTTTCCTAAAAACAAATGATAGACATTTATGCTGCCTGAATCTGTCACTGCAGTGGCATCATCAATTAGGAATCATCAAAATTTCATCCAAATTTGAAAGAGGTTTAGAAGTCTGAAAGGTWACTAACCATTCACAACTTAACTGTGCTTAACCTGAACAAGGACACCTAATATTTCTGATGTCACTGGCTTTAATATTAACCAGTTATAAATGTTGGATTTCATTGTGTAATCTTTTTTTTTTTTCTTGCCAGATGCATTCATTTAATGAAAAGGATAAACACAGAATCACAATATATTTAAATACATTATATAGRTATATATTTATAAAGGCATATATGTGTAGATCCCTGTTAAACCATTCAATGCCAGCCCAAGATGGAGCGTGCTCCTTATTGCATTAAGTACTGTTGTTTTATTATCCTGCTCCCAAGCTAGAATTAGAAGCATTAATATTAGCTGTCTTTTCTTCCTGCATTTAGGGAAAGTGATAATTGCAAAAGTTTTCCTTGGCCACAGTGCTCCCATTTGTGCAAGGAATCCCATCTGTCAAGTCAACTATCCAGGGGCTAATTCAGTGTTCAGGCCATGGAAATGCCTAGAAAGTGATACATCAGCTTCTGACAATAGTATGTATCTGTAGGCACTTGTTAGGCTGAAGTTAAGGTTATAGCAATATTTGTATTCTAAAATCATCCTCCATGTACTTTGGAACATGTCAAGTGCTTTGATTCCTCAGAAGGCAGGCTCTGCTCGACTACAATGCAGGTTTTCAAGGCCAACGACAAGCAAGAAACTCCCCATCTCAGTGAGAGCCAGCTGTGCCACACTGCTGTGCAGTTCACACTAAGAGCAGCCTCCTTCGTGTAGCTTCATACCCGCTCTGTGTTTGTACTGTGTGTTTTAATGAGTGTTGGAAAGGAGACTGGAGAGCACAGAGATCTTCACTTTTAAAATCCACAGTCTTTATTTTTAAGCAAAATAAAAACAAATAATGCTGAGAAATACCTTGTTATAAGTAAGCAAATTAAATCCTTGTATCACATAATCTGAGTGATTCTGCTTTAACCTATCTTTTCCACAAGCGAACACAGTGGCAACTGTTGATAGTTTTACCWGTTCATGCCTTGCAAACTTTCTGGTGCTAACAGGAAGCAATGTCTGTCTCTATACACAGGAGCTGGGATTGCTCCTGGTTTCTAATAAGGAAAGAAATGTAAGCCAGTTTGAAAAGTGGTCACACCACAATATGATGAAGTAGTTCTCGATGCTGCAGGAGGGAAAGCAGTGCAGGAGAGCTGCCCATGCTTGGACCATGTCCCTTGGACCTGGTTCTTTTGCAGGATGCATCCTCCATGCTAGAATCTGCCAGTTGCATTTTCTGCATGATGCATTAGAGAGCCACTTTACCAGATTCTTCAAGGCAAAGTCAAATGGTAGAAGGGTATAAAACTGAARCATTTTCATGGAAACAGATACCTTTGATTCACCACATCTGGAAATGAATTCCTTGACTTAGCTAACAAATAATATATTTATTTCCTTTCCTTTCCTTTAGAAGCACAGTCTTCGTTGGAATGGAGAAAGTGTGACTGCAGGCTTCGGCAGTACGAGTGGTTTGTGTTTGATCGTGAGCTAGTCCTACCAGAATATCTTGCTGAGTTTGAGTATGTTACACTGGTATGAACTTTCTTTTCCTTAATGTAATATTAGAGGGAAAACTTTAGATTTCACAGATAAAAAAATAAAAAGCAAGTAGTTTAAATTCTGCTTYACTCACAGGATCTGGCTATTCCAGGTTCAAAGTTTCTTCCATATTGTATGAGCACCAGATAAAACATTCATGAAAGCCTCTRAGGATCTTTCCAGTCATTAATGTGGAAGTTAAAGCTCTGCTKTTGACATCTTAAAAAGCACAGCAGAAATGGGAAAGATTCTCTAACTGTCGACAGATGAATAGAAATACTTCAGAAAACTAAATCCTCTCTCGCAAAGAGCTCTCTTCTCTGAGGTGTCATGGAAAGTAAAGCTGATGTTATTGAGTAAATGATCTTGTCTTCATGAGGTCTTGAGGGAGCACCTGGTCTTTCTTTTTTGAAATACTTCGAAAAAGAAAAAAATACTTSTTTTATCAACTGGGATATCAAACAATTTCTTCCATAATTTAAAAATAATACAAAAAAGAAAGTTACTTCTGTTAATATTGGTATGCCACGTAGTGCTCTGTTTTTAAGCCACCTGCTACCAACATGCAAGGGCTTAATTCAGCCTCTGAACCTCTGTTAGGTTGAGGCAAGTGTACAGGAAAGCAGGAAGTTCAACTCTGGGGAAAGGAAAAGTGTGGAATTCAGGATTGCATCAGCTCTGCCTGGTCCCATGGCCCAGCTGTAGGTTCCTCTGCTGTGATTCTTGCACTTCATGAATTCCAGTGTGTGATTGTACTACTTTGTCTCAAGCCAGAGTGGTTTACAATAGCCTATACAAACAAAAACATCCTGTAATGCACTGTGATGATTATGCAATTAAAGCCAATTTTTAGCAGATCMGTACCACAGAAAGATAAGTCCATAACTTTTTTTCTGTTAAAAAAAAATAAAGTTTACAACTTTCAAATGATTTTTATTTTAAATAGGGCAAAGATCAATCTCTGTTTTCTACATGCAATGTAATTGTAAAAGAGGGAAAGAAAAGCACAGATGGATTTATTCAGCCTGATGATTTGCGATGTGATGATGAAGTTTTGAATATGCAACCACCAGTAAAAGCTAGTACTAAAATTGCTTGCTTAGATGAAAAAGCAATACTTTCAGTGGCTAAGGCCAGTGTTTTCAGTCAGGTAAAGGTGAGTAATTTCTGTCAAATTTACAATAGAAGAAATGTATTCTATTACTGATACTGTGTGGCTCATGATTCATAAAGTTAAAAATTAAGGTTTCAAATTGAGCTTGAATCTGATGCTGCTTACATTTACTTGACATGAATTTCATGATATTGAACAAACAAAAAAAAACCCAAAATGTATGAAATGAAAATGCTTACTATACAATGTGAATTGCAATTGTAGGATTGAATCCTGATTGTGTTTCTCGCTATATGAAGCACAAGTAATTCCACCGAAAAAGAGCTTAAATGAAGCAGATCTGAGAACAGGACATGACTTGAACTATCAGCCTTTCCTTTGAATTTTCCGGAATACATGAGTTTATAACATTATATCAATTGCTCTTGAAAATATTTTATGTCAGATTTGACATCAGAATACAGATGTAACCTAGGGATAAAACATCAAAACTATGCAGGAAGCTTACTTACATGGATATTCATATTCCTAACTCTGACATTGCACATATAGCATTTCWGTATGGCATTTTCAATAGCTTCATTTTCTGATGAAATAGCCTTGCCAAGTATGTGATTCTTCTGCACTCTCCCATTTTTATGTCTAGTTTGTGAGCTGATAACATTTCTTATGTTTTCTTATTATGTTTTCAATCCCATTTACAACTTAAAGTTTCCAAACAACCTTTTTCTTTCCTAACACTTATTCAGAGACAACATTAAGAAAAAGCAGAATGACAGTTTTCTTCCTGATTTACCAAAGTGTTATCTTTCAAGTAGTCTGTATTTGTAGTAAGTTATAGCAATTCTTCTCTCMCTTTTCCTTTTCCTAAGTATTTAGTCTCAATGGATCTATTGCTCATTGTTGCTGGGCTAATCTCTTTCCATGCTGCTCTCTGAAAATGGAAGAGTTGCCAGTTCCTCAGAGTCAACAGGATTTCCAGTAAAGAGAAGAATAATTTCCAATAAAGAGGTGAACTTAACAACTATCTTTCTGTTCCTGTCTTCTGTGAACAGACTAGATTGGTTGGCTGATTCTCCACCTAATAGGACGCTCTTCTTTCAGGGAGAAGTTACAGGACAAATAGTCTTCAAATAAGTGAAAAAGAGTCATCATATCCTTTAGTCATTTTTTCACTATTTTATGTTATTTGGAGTCATGTTTTATATACCTATGGTTTGTAGCATAGAATAGTATTTAGATTTGCACTCTAATAGTAGCAGCTTTTTCATTTTAAAGGCAGCTTTGGAGTATTACAGAATTTAGTTGCCCACCTGATAAAACTGTAATTTCTGCTGTACTTTCTGCCTAGGTTTTGAATTTGCATGGAAACAGCCTGAGAAAGCTACGAGACATCTCTAGACTAAAGAGACTTCAAAAGCTTATCATCAGCTTTAATGAATTTACTTCCTTAGATGATATTTGTGACTTGGTGAGGCATAAGCTCAAAAGTTTTTAAGGAATGTAAATTAGAATAATATTCTTGAATGGGAAAAAAAATCTATAAAGTTAGTAACATAACAGCAAGTACTAAATTCACTGTCCTCCAACAAGTTCTTAGTCCAAGTTTGTAGCAGAGATAGAGGCAAGACTACTTGAACTTTTCCCAATCTTAGTACCAAATAGTGTGATAATGTTAACTAACCCTGCCAGACAAAGAAGTATTGAGGGAGCAGGGTGAGAGCTGGAGAGTCTCTTTCTCCTTAGTTGAACTGATCCTCTTTGAGGGCTGAAATCTCTCCCCAGAGACTTGAGGCTGTGTGGAGGCTAGAATGCACASGGGGACAGTTGGACCCCTTGCTCTTCCAGGACCTGTGGTAGTAGATTTACCCCAACACAAGCCTCTTCCTCAGGCTTGTGAGTGGAGACACAAAGTGACTCCACTCTTCAAACAGCAGCTCTGTTTTGCACTGCTCTACAAGCCGRGAACTGGGATGTTACTGATGGGGCCAAGGGTGTTCTGGCAGTTCCCCTGAGGCTCTTGCACTGCTAAAGCAGAGAGAAATTGCAGGGCCTCACATGGAAGATGTGGGGAGGAGAGGTGAGAGCGTTGCAGGCTGGGCTTACAGAACAGGASTGGGCCAGGAGACACAGTGGAACAGAATAGGCTACTAAACTAGGATCCCAAATACGGAGACGGTATAAGGAGCTGGCAGTTTTCATGCCTGTTGGATTTCCAGATCCAATCATGCGATTAAAGTGATACTGCAGTATCTCTCATCAGCTCTTTGTAAGGGCCATTTCAACCAATAGATCAGTACTGAATGGGACACCTGAATTCTGTTTCTGGCCTTGCCAATGGCCTACTCAGTGGTTTGAGCAATGTAGTCTTTTCTTTCTGATGCCCTGGCTGTTAGTCAAGCAGAGGTGGTGTTCCCTGGTTCCCAAGGTGTTTCCTGAGGCAGTAGCTCCTCTGTTGTCCGTAAAGGGGCATGAATGGAGCACTTGACCTCCATACTCAGTACCAAGCAAGGAAAATCCCAGGCATTAGAGCTAGTTAAATCTGTTTCAATATTAAGTAGGTCTGATCAAAGTTTCTTTTGCTGCAGTTTTGGTCCTACAACTATCCTCAACTCTGTATTGTCTTGCAGCCCAACCTCGAGTATTTTGATGCAAGTCATAACCATGTGATCATGCTGAAGGGCCTTAGGTGCTTAAGGAAACTGCAGTGCTTTGATCTGAGCTGGAATCAGCTGAAAAAGATTAGGGAAGAAATGAACGTCTTACGTGAACACACTCCCAACTTGCTTAGTCTTGACATTGCACACAACCCGTGGCATGAGGTAGGTACCAGTGCTTGGAATTTCTGGGAAACCTATTCTTGTTTTCTTTTTTCTTTTTTTTTTTCTTTTTATTCTAATGTCCTTGCAATGTAAGAAGCCTTTTGACTATGCTATGGCTTCTTTGTGCAATGCGTTGTGTGTCATAGCTGATAGGAGACCTCTCCAAGGCACAATTCATTTCTTTATTTGCTTCCCATAAGAATTAATTTTGTTTGTGGCTGTGCCAGACTTAAAAAGCTAGGTCATGGCTTTAATTTTGCTCTCTCAACTGCATGGAATAGGGGCTGGGAGCAGAGATATTTCCCTGGCCTTGGGGATGTGTGTCTATGCTGTTAGTCTTTGTGTTGCTGCACATATCTCTGTGCAGCAGCACAGCTGTGCTGGCTGGAGCTTTGGACAKAGAGCCAAGACTCAGCCTCTGTGCAGACTCTCTGTCAGTCCCCGCTGCATCCTGCCCAACCAGCCTCTGCAACAGATGTTTGTTCTTTATTCCATTTGAATCAACACAGTTTAATATTGTTTAACAGAGCTCCGTCAGAATCAGCACTGTTAAACCTTATTAAACTTTACAAATACAGGGCACTGAAAGGCTCTTAGAAAGCCTTTATTAGTGCCTATTTAATATTTTATATTATAAAGTATTTTTTTAGAACAATTTAATCAACATCCTAATCTGGGAATCAGAGCTGCAGTGGGCCATCCAGGAAGGATCCAGAAGCGTCCAGAAAAATGCTGGATTTGGTCTGTCATTTAAATTTCACTGACAGTTATCGATAGATCCTTATCAATATATTCCAAGGTATAAAAGGAAATGATAACAACTGCTAGTTCTGGTCTGTGATTCATTGCTGTTTTTACTGAGTTTTCTAATGGATCAAATCTACAATTTTGTTGTGCTCTTTGTGTCAATGTTGTAACTCTTGATTATTAAGAATTGACCAAAACTGTCCCTCTCCAGAGTTCTTAGGTATCCAACCACAATGTCTAGTTGCTTCAGTTCAGAGCAAAGCAGAAGATCCTTTTTCCTTCTCAGAGGATACATTTGCTGTTCTAGCTCCTAAAAGATTATATTTGGCTTATTTGTTCATTAAAATATATCTATATTCTACCCACAGAGATATTATTATTCTATATGTGAAGAGTGTGAGTGGTTGAGCATGTTCTGAATGTACAGGATAGATCTATGGTGGTATCTTTTGGCTGACACTTCTAAATATATTACACGTCTTTCTAAATGTCCTGCGAAGCTTTCTTTGTCTTTTTAATGTATTGGACTCATAAATGAACCTCCTAGGCTATAAAGCAAATATGAAAACGATTCATATATCAGTTAACTTTCACATGATCAATGATGTGATTACCATCACATGAAATCAGGATAATCAAAACTACCCTGAAGGCACCATATCTCTCGTGTTTCTGGCATGCTATATCAGCAGGGATGACACAGTGACTCTTCTGAGGATTGTGACAGGCCTCTAACTTTTGACATCCATGAGCTGACAGTAGGCTAAATAGAAAGGAAAAACAAATCTTACTCTGGTATGTGATGTATGTTGGCATTTTTAGAAACTCATAGCACTTTATTTCTTTCTTCAAGACAGCGTCATTGCGTTTGAGTGTCATTGGCCATTTAAAGGCTCTCAATATCCTAGATGGAGTCGTGATTACTGAAAAAGAAGCTGCAGAAGCATTACACTATATTGCAAGATCGAATATAACCCAGGTTTGATTTTTCCATTTTGCTGTAACTTACAACAACTGCTGTGTTTTGTCTTTGCTCCTGGCAGTAGGTCAGAAATTATTTACTAAACATTGGTCTTCTAAAGAGCTTTGCTAGTACCTGTATCCTGGTATGATATTGGAAACAGTCTTGTTCAGGTTTTGCTGAATATAAAATACAAGAAAATAACTGTGCCAGATAGAAACAATAGAAAGACAACAGACTAAACCAATTACGTTCTTTATTTTTTTTATATGTAGTCCCAAATCCTGGCCTTTGCTTTAATGCCCTTTCAGAGAGTAAATTTGCAGAGTATTTTATGAGCAGAAATGAAATGATTCTTCCTTACCACTGAACACAAATATGTTCTAATTAAGCTATTTGGAACTATATCCCAAAGCACTCCTGAAGCCTAAGCTGAGTCTAAGTTAATGCACTCAGTGGGCTCTACCAGTTTGAACTGAGCATTATTATAGTAATGCAATTTTTGTATGGTGAGAGCACTGTTGCAGTGAAATTTATGTCCACTCACAGTGAATACCATGTTCTTGTCTTTCTGCAAAGAGCTGGATAAGTATCTTCACAGCTAATCAAAGACAAATAGGCTGTAGTTACTACAACATGTTTTGGGGTGATCTACCTTTTCTGTTTTACATGTTGAAAACTAAAAATTATGTATATAGAAGATGTATAGGAGTATAGCAAATCTAGTAAATTTACTAGATTATTTGTTGTCTCTAGGAATATATGCCCTTCCCCTTCCAAAAATAATACCATTGCTCAGCCTGTTCATATATGTCAAGCTATGCACTGTACAGTATGTCTAGTTATGTTATCTACTTACTGTTAAGTATTYCACTTTTTTTCCTTTCAGGTATCTCTGTTGGAATATTCTAGGACTGATGAAGAAAGCCCTCCTGTTCTTAGTGTGTTTCCTTGTGCTAAAATTCTGTCTCAGATTAGCAAAAACAAGGTGGACTCACAGACACATCTTAATAACTGGTATTCAATGGTAGGACTGATGCTAGTATTTAGTGCTTAGACTAACATTTAGATGAATATCTGCAAAAGTTTTCTTTTGTGGTCTCAGTTTAATGGATTGATGCCTTTGGATTAAACTGGCCTCTTAAACAGATTCAGGTCTAGCTGTTTGTAATATTCTTTCTGGGGATGGTCATTTCCTCGCGGAATGTGTGAGGAATTCCTCACGGAAAGTCATCTATTAAGTAACCTTTTTTGCAATTCAACTGCTTTTTTAATTAATTTGATTAATTCATATCCTTTAAGACAAGAGGGGGTTAAATTCATCTAACTCTGGTCATCTACAATGCATGCACCCACTTTGAACTAGTCCCCTTGGGCTTCTCATGGTGCAGAAACATAAACACCTCYGGCACTTGAGTTACCTGACCATAGGAGAGTATGCCAGGTCATAGTGAATTCTATGAGAATTCTATGAGAGAAAGCCTAGCCAGCCAGCACGGATACAGATAACCTCTGTTGCTGGCATCAATGTTTGCTGATAGGAAATTCCCTCGTAATACTGAATTAAAAATTTCAAGTAACAGTGAATCTACCACGCTTTGCCTGTCTCTGTGCCTTGTCTACCACTCTCTCAATTGTCTTTTTTTCACACTATAAGATATATAAAGAATGTGCTTATTATAAATTGTACTTATGGATTTTTTTAGAGAACTTTCTTCTGGGGCAAGACCAAGTCCTCATCTACTTGCTTCATTTAAGAATTTAAGAATTCTTAAATGCTCTGGAAGTATTTCAAAGGAGAGTGTCAGTGAAGCTTCAAGAATATTGAACAAAGTGTTACCCAACACTCAGTGAGGTCTCAACTCTCAACAGAGTTCCTCTCAGAACTCAGAGTATCAGATTTGGTCTTTCCTACATTCTCTARTGTGTGCATTGTATCTGAAACATACCGTAGCCTTTCCTTTACTGGGAACATCACTGCAGGTCTCYCACATCTAGCTGCGGCATTTTTATGGAATTTGTAGGAAACCTRTATCTTTCACAGTCCTAGTGATCTGTCAGGTTTGTCTGAAACCCACCRATATGTTTAAAAGTTAGTGGTAAGACTAGTGGACTGATGGACAGACACTTATTAGCCTTGTTTCCTTAGGAAACTGGGCTGACAAAAAGCCATAAGAGTCAATGAGGGAAGATTCAAGGTCATGCTAACCTGTTTTGTCCCATCATCTGAAATCATGTTAAACTACAAGAAAAAAAGGTTAGAAGTTCCTCTGTCAGTTCAATTTGCTGCGTGGACTCTGGAATAGCTAGAGGAAAACACGTTTCTGGTGATGAGCCTACCATTTTATCCTGTATGCAGCAGGGAATTCATGTTCATAGGAATTGCCAGGGAAATTAATGTTTTAGCATATGTCAACAACAATGGATTCATGAAGCCTAAGATAAACATTTTTGAAAATGGAATAATATAGCCAAAAATGTGCTTGAATCATCAGCATGTTACAGTGATTATTTATCTTAGGCTAGATAAGACACTGAGTATCCTGGGTCCCTAAAATACAATTAGATTTTTTTTTTTTTTTTTGAGTGAGGCTGTGCAATCTTTTCTTCCCCCATCACACATTGATTAGACTGCAACAGCATCAGCTGCTTCCTCAGAAACAGCTTGTGGGTAAGATCATTGACTGCCCTGTCTCTACTGCAAGGTAGATCTTCTGTAAGAAGGTTCTTTGACTCAGGAATATATTTTTGGTATCTGTATTGGCTTGTTTGTTTAGGATACATGAAAGAAGAAAAACAGGGAAGTTGCAACCCAGCAATAGAGAGCACATGATATACATGAAGAATTAGTTCAGATGAATTTTGCTATGTTCTCAGCCACTGATAGACTAAATAATAATCCTTAGGTTTTGAGCTGCAATCCCCTGAAGTCCAGTTGTAAAATGAAGACTTGTAAAGTTGTCTAGTCAGTGAACTAGTCACATTACATGAACACAAAGACCAAAAAGATCTAATGCAAGCAAGAAAAAAGGGCTTTGTTTAGATAGCAGCTAAAACTGCACAGATGCATTTGGGAACTGTCATACTTACATGGCAGAGTCCTTGATTTTGATGGATAAGTTGAGCATTTTTTTAAGTATTAAATAGGAGTAGCTSCATTGTGTACTAGGGAAATATCACACTGTGAACCCAATAAATTTCCATTGATATGAATATGAAAGGTATCTGAAAAATGTGAGCACAGAGGAGATGGAATTGACAGTTTTCTTTCAATAATAAAAATAATAATAATGAATTTTATTACAGATCACTGTCTTAGATCTGGATGATCAACATCTCTTCAAAATTTCCAACTTGGAAAAATTGGAACATTTAAGATGGGCATCATTTAGCAACAATAATCTCACTCAAATAGAAGGTCTAGAGTCTTGTCTTAATCTTGAAGAACTCACTTTGGATGGAAACTGCATTTCAACACTAGATGGTAATATATTTACCGTGGTAGTGATCATTTAGGCTGTTACACAATAGAAATATGCTTTTTTAGTGAAATATTCCAGAGCATTATTCCTTAGTTGCTGCCAATATTTTTCATATTGAAAAATCTAACCTTTAGCTTCTCAGTGTATCTTTAACAGAATTGAAGAGAGGGAATTAGGAAAAACAATTATCTTGCAAAAAAAAATAGAATTTGTTTTTTTAAATCTGCATATTTATAAATATTTACTGTACAGCTGATCTAATTACTATTGCATGGGTGTTATATATTCCCCACGTGTATCATGGCAAACACTGTTATTGTTACTAATTTGAAAATCAGGAGTCTACTGTGAGCTATGGATTCTATGTGAAGGTGCTAATTAACTTAAGTTCCCCCTTCTAACTCCCAATCCATACTCCCAGATGTGACTCTGGTAACTCCTCCATTCCCATTCCCGGAATTTGTTTTACCATCTGTGTTATCCACCTTTTTATAGAACTCACTTTACACTAAGTATATTTTGTTTTTCAAGGAATTTCAAAGCTCACCAAACTTACAAGACTTAGTGTAAATAACAATGATCTCACCAGCCTGGAAAGACACGTGTTTCAAAATCTGTCTCATCTTCATTACATCTCCGTTGAGAACAACAAAATCTCTTCTCTAATTGGCTTAAAGAAAACTTATTCCCTAATAGAGCTATACATAAGTAATAATTTTATTTCTACCATTCAAGAGATACACCATTTAAAGGTAAATATGGATTTACTATTCCGAAGATTAATTTGATGTTTAATTTATTAGAAGTACCAACAATCCATACTTCAAATTGAAGAAGTTATACTTGAAGAAGTTATACTTCAAGTTATACTTGAAGACATATTTGGAGGTTCTGTCTATTAGCACTGTGTTAATCCAAGTTTACATTTGAACTTCAAGTAGTTAGAACCTCAGTCTAACCTTGCTCATTCCTAAGAAGGAGGTACTCAACCTCCAGTTGGATTGTGTCCAATTTTTTTTGCATAGAGTTGAATGTAATGCATACCTGGTTGACTAAATAAAGCCTTACAATCCATGGAATAGTTTTGCAAATCCTGCCAAGTTGGAAACAGGCACACCTGCAGCAATTTCAGTTCTTTTTGGCTTGCTTGGAATATTAACATATATATTGCAAAATTTGTTGGCTGGATTCAGACATTGGAGACTGAGGCGCTAGTTCCTCTTTGAGTTCAAACTACAAAACTGTGAGGGAGCACAAAGCTTTTAAGGAAATAATGGGATTTTTCAGGATAGTTTACACTCACTTGAAGACTTTCTATGTGGCTTGAGCAATGCAAAGAAGTTTTAATCTAAAAGTTTGGATTTTGTTAAGTGATTTCTTATTTTTGTCATGCAAATGACAGATGAAGAAAAAAAATATGAAAACAAAGTAGCCTGAATGCCCCTGTATATGCTTATTTTAAAATGATTAAAATCAGTGTTTCTTTCTTCTCAGGGTTTAACTAATTTGATAATTCTGGACCTGGATGGAAATATAATAGTCTGGAAACAAGATAACTACCGATTACTTGTATTATTCCTTCTTCCCTCCCTCAAAGCCTTAGATGGCATTGCAGTAGTAAGTTATTCTGTATGCAAATTCTTACTGTAACATTTGTTAAAATCACTGTTTGATATATCAGACCAGATTGGACTGGCCAATATCAGATGTTGAATATCTTCATATTATCTGCTTCTCTGTCTCTCCTTATTAGTCTTGAGGTAGAAATTGTCTATTTTTAATTGTACCTCGCATAACAGGGTTCTTTCTGGAATTTTAACTGCTATTGTGGAGCATTAACACTTCTAAAATCTATGAAATCAGTGTGCATTACTTACAACTCTATACTTCACACAAACTCACAGCACATAGACTGTTCCCATCAATTTGTTCCATAAGAAAAAAGCCAAAATAACACTTACTAAGTTACTTTGATTCTAAACATATGTCTTGCTTACACTGCTATAATAATTCTAGATCTGCATTAATCTAACTGACCAAATTCACTTAACAGGATCCAACTGAAGGAGAAAGTGCAAGAGATCTGTTTGGAGGCAAACTCACCTCTGATATGATTGCAGATAGACTGGAACATTCAGACTTGACAGAAATGCAAGAATTAAATTGGACAGCCTCTCATATCAGGTGCAGTACTTTTTTCAAAAGTGTATTATCTGTGAAAAGTAGCATTTAATATGGTTAGAATGTGAAAATCTAAAGGCAGAACCTGTATTTAGCAGATACCTTTGATATCCCCTACTGTTTTAGGTGAAGTTTTCTTGACTGATCCATAAAATGTAAGTAATTTTACCTCACAAAAGATTCTTCTCTCATTCTACTAATGTGCTATAGAAGCAGAAAGAGGAGTGTCTTTTAGGTCCTTGCCATCAGTGTTAGAATTAAATTAAGTGTTTATTAAAAAACTGCTTATATTTTGTGAGGTTTTCATTAGGGAGTTTCTTTCGTAAAGTGTTGAAATTTTTAGGCAGTCATGCTAGGGATCTGCTTATGCTATGGTATCTACCATGTATCTTATTTAACTGTGTTGTCTATATTCTAAATCCATATGATGTTCTTTACTTGATTCAGAACTGTGGAGCTGGTGCCAGCAGACCAGTTTAGAAATGTCTGCAGCGTGAATTTACAGAACAATAATCTCACATCTTTCAGTGGTTTAATCTTCCTGCCTAATGTCAAGGTGAGTTTGGCATCATCCTTTCTACAGGAATAATACTAATTATAAAGTGATTTCCTTTAGTTGGTGGAGGGGGGGAGAACAAAAACAAAAAAAAACCTTTCATCTCCTTTATTCTRGTGTTGTTTGTAGGTTTTGTAACATCATTAATTGGTCAGCACAAAGCTGGTTAGTAGGAAAATGTACACTGAATTGCAACTGCTGCAGTAATTTTATTTTATATGCACCAAACTTTCTAAGCCCTTATCACTTTAGATTGAACAACCATCTTTCTAAAAATCAAATTTCTCTAGCAAAGAAATGTAATTGTCAGTTTTGCTAATGTGTTGGCAGAGCAGCACTGTGTTTCATTAATTATGTTTGTTTTGTGCAGGTGTTGTGTCTGAATTACAATCACATTGAATCGATACTGCCTAGGCAAAAGCCTCCAAATCAGCCAACAAATAATAGGCAACAGCTGTATCAAAAAGTGACCTCTAGTGGCTATGGACAGCAAGGACTTTCCAGAGGAAGGAGGTACCATCAGCTTTTAAGACATCTTTTTCTCTCTCCTTTCCTGGGGAAGAAGGAGGTATCTTCCACATCAATATCCAGACTCTCCCTCTTTTCCTTTTCTGCCTTGAAGAAGCCCAGTAGCTTTTTGTACTTGTTCTGCCCACTCRTGACCCGTTTGATATAACCTCGTTACCTTTCTTTCCTAGGTTCTTTGTGGGCAACTGGTTAGGTCATTTGTTCATCAAATTAATTATTCCAGTATTCTGCCATCTGTTCTTCAGATCATATTGCATAGATGGGTAGGCATATCTTGAAGTCTTTTCATCTTCCTACAAAGGAATTGTAGGGTAGCAATTTGGGGTAGCAGAACCATCTTCCTCTCTCTAGCCACTATTTGATCTGAGAGAGCATGGGCAGAGCAGGAGCTCTGATCAGATTGATCATTGACATCCTGTGCTTGCAGTCTGTGGTTAGGTTTGCATAACCTTACACTRCAGAATTATATCAGTGTAAGTATCATATGGGGATTGATTGCATTCCTTYAAGTATGATCTGTGAAAATTGAGCAGCCTTATACTATAGAGTATTCTGCTGACAGTCACAGCCACTTACTAGAAGCGGGGATCTCAGCAGATTCACACTATAGTGCCTTTTAGAAGCATTTTTGCATGTTCCTCTGCTATGTTTTATCTAATCTAAGCAATCATTTATCCTGCTAATAAACCTCATTTCCTTTACTCATTTGATAAGTGGTATTCTTTTTCTCATCCTCTTAAACAGACATTTATACTTCCTTTTGCCTTTTATACTTATTACATTATACTTATTTATTTTATACTTATTTCTAATAATTTATAATTTAACTTATAATTTAACTTATATTTATTTATATTATTTATATTATACTTATCTATACTTCCTTATCTTCCTTTTGCCATCCACCTTAGGTCAGCCCGTGTCCTAAAGAGCATTTTCAAGTCACCTTTCAGTGTGCATTTCTCATCTGTGCACTGTGTTACGACTGAAACTTCTGGGGCTTGTCAAGATTCATTTGCTCAGTTCTTCATGGAGAAGACAACATCCATAGCTAAATTTGGGTTTATCCTATCAGAGAAGCCTTGCAAAGTCACTGTGCAGAATTCCCTCTATATGTTGATCAAATTTTGCTTAGTGATAGTGACAGAGCATCAAAGAATCCTGCAAAACCTTGTTATTTGCTTCTGTATTTCTCAAGAGCATGCCCAGCTCTCATCTTCATTCCCGCATATATTCAGCATTGATATTATTTTATTTTTTTCTCTAGGGTGTGGGAATAACATGAATTTTTTTCAGATTCTCTGGAGAAAAAATACAGGGAAAGAAGCACACATGGTTATGGGCTTCCTGAGTTTCCTCCTTAATGTGACAAATTCTGTGCCTGTTTTGCTCGTGTTATACATCTGTTCCTACATAAGAGATGAACATTCTTTACACAATTTGGAAACTCAAAAGGAGCTTGAAATAATTATTTATTTACTACAAGGATTTCTTCTTGTAAGTGGGATCTTTTTACATTAATGCCTTGCTGTTTCTTCCCCTTACTCCTTTGAAATATTGACAAAATGTTAGATTTCTTACCAACCATTGAAACTTGCCTGATGTTCCCATGAAAGTCAACACATTATCCATAATGTTTYTTAGCCAGCTTTTTCAAATGAGGCTTTTTCAGAGTCTGTGATTTTAAAATGTCAAGAGTTGCTCAGCAGCTGCTACTTAACAGCCTTTAAGTAAATACTGGAATTGAAATAATTTCAAAGTATTTATTGAACACTCCTGTATTTATTTTTGTTATTGACTCTTTCTTAGTGTTCTTCATGCTACAAGCCTCTGATGTCTCCTTAAGTTAATTTACCCCTTTCATCCTTTTTTCTCCATTTTTTTCTACTAGGTAGGTACCAGCTTTTTAAAAACTGCTGCATTCCTTCTTAATTGTGAGTCCTAGGAGCAAAACTCTTCTTAAACCTTCTGCAGTTCCTGTAGATACTTTCTCCAGAAGTGAATTTGAATTAGCTCTGATTTTTTGTAGGCTTGTGAGATAAGCCTGCATTAATCATTTATATATATATATTCATATATATATATAAAAAAATATAGATATTACACTTATATATATATATCAAGTTTACAAATACAAATATTAAGAGGGATTAATATTGCATATTAACATCTGTCTTGGATTTTTTTTTGTTTGTGCTGTATGAATGGAATCAAATTGTGCCCATTAACACCAAAATTTAGTGGTTTCATGGAAATAGAAGTTGCTTGGCACAGTGTATCATTAGTTGGGTCATAAGGAAGGAAAGAAYAAAGCTAAAATTAGAACTTCTTGTCTTTCTTAATCTATTACATGATGCTACCTAGGTACATGTCAGATTTTACAAGTGAATTAGTGAAGCACTGCACCATTTTTTATTTTGTCCTGGTGTCTTCCAGCTGTTGTGAGAATACACAAAGGTTGTAAATAAATATTTTACTAAATTAAACAGCAGTCTCCAGCTGATTTTTTTTCCCCATGTCCTCAGACTTCTTGCAAGTAGAAAAGTAGTTTTCTATGTTTTATTTTTGTGGTCTGGACCCGGAAACCTTCATCTAACTTCCACAGAGTGGAAGTTTGTATATGAAATACTCTTAGCTCATAGTGGTAGGTTTCTTGCAATTTTCATCAGATTTATGGCAGTATATATGTATAGTTCCTATGAAATCTAATCCAGTGATTAGAACTGAACTCCTAATCATTCATATATACTCTTTGTAATTTTCTGAGGGGTGGGAAATGCTGAAGTTCTTTGGACTAAGAAAAACTGTGACCTTATACTCCTCTTTATTTTGCTGATGTAGGGACGCAGCATTTGGTGGAAACCTGCCCCCAGTAATGCAGAGTCTGGAAGTTCTTCATCTGGGCTATAATGGAATTACTAACATGGCCCAGCTACAGCTTAGCAGGCTAAAAAACTTGAAACTTCTATTTTTGCAGGGTAGGTAATAGCATATGTTCCATAAATTCATTCAACCATTTTACAGTGTATCCCTTAGGTCCAGACTTTGGATTTGTAGGTCTCTGTTCTTGACTCCTTTAGAGACAGAAGAGTAAAATTCTTCCATACTGGGTCGCTGTGCCGCACTTCTCTTTTCAAAGAGCAGATCAGGGCAAACAGCAGTGTTTGTCAGCTTATGGCCAGCAAGTCACTCCATGCCAAGGAAATTTCCTCTTCACTGTAAGCAATTCTGATGATAGCGGTTGACCTAGGTCTTGTTTCTCAGGTGCCCATATTTAATTAGGAAGACATTTGAATTAAATAGGGATTGCCCACAGATAGAGTGCATTAGAAGTGGTCCAAAACCACATTTAGGAAGTTCACAGGCTGCTTTTGGTCAACATAACATTTTGTTAAAAATGAATACCAAATGTATTAGAGATGATTCCATGCTTTTATTCCTGGTATAACAGGAAATTTTATCAGTCACATTGAAGGACTCGAAGGCCTCCAGTCTTTGCAGGAGTTGATACTGGATAATAACCGCATTAAAATGATTTCTGAAGGCTCCCTTGCTAAACAGAATGCTCTTTTGGCTCTTCACCTGGAGGAAAACCAAATACGAGAGCTGAACAGTTTGCGACCTCTGGTAAAATTACAGAAACTTTTTCTGGACTTCAATAAAATTCAGGTACATGCATTTTTGTAAATGATATAGATTCAATGGGTGAAATGTTGTGGATTGTGCTCAGACAAAGTTCTTATTCTCCTTTGTGACTTTGCCTGAGTAACATTACAATTATTTTCCCCAAAACATACACACTGGCTGAAGGATTTCACAGAACTCTTCTTATATGGTCTATCTTTTAACTTTTGGACAGGAATTATCTGAACTAGAAAAGCTGGAMGTTATTCCCAGTCTTAAAGTGCTCTCAGTACACGGCAATCCAGTAAGTATATGTTTGCACTGTTATATAAATTAGATCTATATTCCAGTTTACACGCTTAGTATTCTACCCTTTCTAAATCATTGAAAATATTAAGAATTCTTAAGTATCTAGTATTATTCTACTGCTATATTTTTAACCCTGCATAATGATCACATTGCCTCACTAGGCCTGTGTCAGTGCTATCCTGTGATCACAATGCCCTTGTTCTTAGCGCACTGTTCTTCATAGTGCTGCAAGATAAATTTAAAATCTATGTTTGCATAAGTATGTTCCAATGATGAGTTGTCCTTTAAATATTCTGCCYAGACATGTGAATACAGGGCAAAGAATGTTAGAAGTATTTCTGAAATATTTGTTTTTATTTTAAAATTGCTCAATAGAAATTATTTTTTGTTGTTATTTTGTGTAGCACTCCCAAAAATGTCCCAAAGGGAGATTTTAGTTTTTTTTTCCAGCCATGCTCCTCTTTTTCATTCAGGTATTCTTGCTTTGCCTTTTCTCTCCTTGGGAACAAAGCACTGCAACACTGTTAAGACAAGGCTAAACTTTCTAGTTTTATGGATATATAGCTATGGGACAGAGGATGGGCAACCCTTCCACAAATGCAGAAGAGATATCCCTGGTAACTGTGAAGGGGCGAGTGGAATTCTGTGGGGCCAAATGTATGAATAAAGTTTGTAGAAGCTTTGCTTTATGTATTGAAGAATTTGGCACTACTGAGCTTTAAAGTAATGTTAAACAAAAGTGGAAATCAAAAATACATTTTCATTGCTGGCTTGATAGAAATATGGCTTTCTAAATCAGAAATGAAAATCTAGCACATGGCACTTGTTTTAAACAGGCCCTTGCAGATCACGCTGAGAGCCTGAGTTATAAACGTTCCTTAAYTTATTTACCATAAACCTGCAGGTTCTGGCCTAAAGCTGGGAATGCAGAGAGGAGAGAAGGTAGGGGTAGGCTGCAGCAGTGACAMACATGATGCAGTCATGTACTCTGTTTTCAGCAACTCACTTAAATGAATTGATTTTGGGCTTATGACATTTGTCAAGCCAACTTTCAAAGGGTTATAGAGAAAGGAAAATGAACTGGCTTCTGAATAAAATGACAGGAACATCTCCAGCAAACTATGAACATAACCCAATAATGAAAAGAACAGTCATGGCAGCATTTCTATTCCTAAGGGAAAAAGCAAAATAGATTCTTCTTGGGAAACTGTTGTTCCAGGGTTTCCTTCTTTAGAAAGAAATAAGTCTATCAGGTTTAGATTTCTCCTGAAGAGGATCGAGTGGGTTGTCTCAGCTGTCTTCTGTTCAAAGTGGCATTAAGGGGAACTACACCTCAGACCATATTAGTAAGTACCAATTAGTACCTGTCCATGAGGTTTAAGCACCTGTTGTTAAGAGGTATAAATTTGCCCATAACATGTTTATATGTCCAYGCAATTATTCATGACTGCTTAAACATTGCTCACTGATATATAGTACTTGTGCCCAGTTGGATTACATCAACAGCCTTGATGTAAGATTTAGTAGAGGTGGTGAAGATACTATCAGATTGTCATCTTAGATAGGGATTTCATTTTTAAGTTAATTTATATTTTCTTTGTATAGATTTCTTTCAAGAAGAACTACCGTCCTTTGCTTCTGCTTCGACTGCCAACCCTGCAAATGTTAGATGGAACTGCAGTAAATACAGAAGAAAGGATGAGAACTGACTACCAGACACTGGAACAAGTAAAACAAATGTTATAATCAAACTGCAAGACCAATATTCAGGTTATCTATGATGGGTGTCTRATGTAGTTATCACAGCATTAAAATAGATTTTTTTTTCCCTTTCTATATTGCTTCAGAGAGTCTATCTGAGGTTTTCTAGTCAGGAGAAAGACAAACACCTGCTCCCTCTCTTCCTCTCAAAACTTTGTGAGTGCAAGAATGYATGATAGAATTTCTCTATCATCCTGCCAAGCACATGACCTCTTTGGTTATGTTTCCTTTTCTGAATTCTGAATTTCTAAATTCTGAATGCCTACAATAGGCATTGCAATACAGACCAAACATATGGAATATAAAGATTGATTAGATTTTCAGGCTGCTCTGATGGCACCATAAATCTTACAGTCCAGAAGTGTGACATTTACCCCCGGTAGCACCTTACATTTACGCTGAGWTTCCATGAACATCCACATCCTCAGCAGGGTTCACTCTTAATACATRCGCTTAGGAGGCTGTAACACTTTTGGATTGGCCCAACCACACATAGAAAGAAGTCCTGGGGAGAAATTCCTTTTACAGATGCAGTTCTGATGAACCAAACCCCCATGCATAGCAGATGCATACCAGTGTCATGAAAGTATGTCCATGCTGAACATAAACATACATATTCAGAAATACCAATTCCTTCATATGGTGTAAAAGAGGAAATATGGGGGATTTTCTGTTTTCTTTTAAGAGGAAGCTAAATCCCTTATATCATCATTTAAGAAGGGCAAGTGCAGGGTCCTGAACTTGGTGAGGAATAACCCCAGACACCAGTACAGGCTGGGGACTGACCTTCTGGAGAGCAGCCCTGTAGAGAGGGACCTGGGAGTTACGGTGAATGACAAGATGACYATGAGGCAGCAGTGTGCCCTTGTGGCCAAGAAGGCCAGCGGGATCCTGGGATGCATTAAGAAGAGTATCTCCAGCAGGTCGAGGGAGGTAATCGTCCCCCTATACATAGCCCTGGTGTGTGGGACTGTGTCCAGTTCTGGGCTCCCCAGTACAAGAGGGATGTGGAGCTGCTGGAGAGAGTCCAGCGCAGGGCTACCAGGATGATCAGGGGCCTGGAACATCTGCCCTATGAGGAAAGGCTGAGGGAGCTGGGCCTGTTCAGCTTGGAGAAGAGAAAGCTGAGGGGGGACCTGATCAGTGTGTATAAATAAACTCTTCTYCATGGTGGCCAGGGACAGGACAGGGGGTAATGGGTGTAAGTTGCAACACAGGAAGTTCCATCTCCATGTGAGGAAGAATTTCTTTACTGTGAGGGTGCCAGAGCCGTGGAACAGTCTGCCGAGGCAGGTTGTAGAGTCTGCTCTGGAGATCTTCCAAATCCGCCTGGATGCAACCGGGTGCCCCRTGCTCTGGGTGTCCCTGCTGGAGCAGGAAGTTTGGACTRGATGATCTCTAGAGGTCCCTTCCAACCTCAGCCATTCTGTGATAAACACCTCAAAGGAGGCAGTGAGGAAGATGGGCTGGCCTCTTTTCAGTGGTGKCAAGTGACAGGACTAGAGGAAACGGCCACAAACTGAAGCATTTTCTTAAGTTCCAYAGGAACTTAAGAAAAATTTCTTAACAGTGGCAGAGCCCTGGAACAGGCTGCCAAGAGAGGTTGTGAAGTCTCCTTCTTTGGAGATCCTTAAAACCCACTTGGACGCAGCCTTGTGCCAYGTGCTCTAGGTGACCCTGCATGTGCAGGGGATTGGACTAGATGACCTCTGAGGTCCCTTCCAACCTTAAGCATTCTGTGATTCTATGATCATGTTGTTCCATAATGTGGTATCACAATAATACTGCACAAAGCTTCTAAGGCAAAATTTCAAGCTGCAATATTCACCATTATCTGCTTATCTTTTTTCTTGGTAAATGGGATTGTTGCCACACATAATCCCATTTCTCTTCGTGCTGTTGGATGCTTTCATAATTTTTCTCCACAATATTTTGATAATGCAATATCATCTTGTCTGATCTTGAAAGATTCTGTATGGTCACATCTGCATCCATTTAAAATACTGCTACAAAGACAGTATTTCTCATTTATTTCTTTGCCCATAAAACTGTAGTTTCATCTTTGCTCTCAATTTCCATCCTATTGACAGTGGAGTCATCTCCTAACCACTTGACATGCAGTTGCCTACCTTGAGCTGGCCAGTATTACCAGTCATCAACACCCACTTGTTCTCTGCCATATTTGTATCACTGCAGCTCCTTTTTATGAGGTGAGGCTCCATGTACAAGCTATATTGTAATTCCCCTTCAGACCTTGTTCTGAAATTCTCCCTGATGATGAAAGCAAAAGAAAACTTGACAGTTGGGCATCTGCTGAGATCACTTTGTCACACTGATCGGTTTTATTTCTCATTATTTCCTCGTGCTCACCCATCTGTCAGGCTGTCTGCATTCATTGGGTGCATTTCATCTCATTTTACAGTATAAACTTGCTGTAACAGAGACTTTTAGAGGGTTCAGTGTCAGATTTTCTGGAAACAATAGTAATAATGACAACAGCAACTCTCCTTGGAGAGGAGGCTGAAGCGGCAGGAGCTTCCTACAGACAGAAGGTTCATTGTCTCTGTGGTTCTTTATATCGTTAAGATCCCACCCACTGAAAGAGTCTGTTGTCACTACTTTTCCTGTGACTGCATGAAACTTCTCCAGAGTTTTATTTGAAGAAGAGAATTCTTTCCTTGCAACTCAGAAGACTGCAGTACGTGTTTTAACCATCTGTTTCCCCAGAAGGTTAAGTGGAGAGTAATGAGGTGATCTAGAGTCTGCTCTCACCCTGTATTTTCCAAGCTCTTCAAGTCCTCTCTTCAAGGCTCGGTTTCATATTTGTGGAACACCATAACCATTCTTTACACATTTGAAACCTAAGTACTAAGGATGATTGGAAGCATGAGTGAGATCAGCTTTTTCTCCCCTCCTTGAGGTTTTTTTTTGCTCTGACCTGCTTTGCAGAAGAGAAGCACTGCCAGGAGGAACCTGCACCATGATACTCGTCTGCCCCTTAAACTTACTGCTGAGATGCTCTTGCTGTACCCAGCCACGTCTAAACTGTTGCTGAGCTGCAACTACTGCAGTGCTTCCTACACTGAATTTAATCTTTCCTMATGTCTTACACTCCCCAAATCTATGTGTTATGTCCCCATTGTATCCTTAAACTGTAAGTTCTTGTGGCATAAACATGTTGTTGTATACTCTTTAGCGTGATACTAGCTTTGAGGTTCAACTGTAGTAATTTAATGCTGTTATTCGTGATGTCTTCACTGGTTTGTCAACTCTGAATCTTAACATTCATGGTAGGTCACTGCCCAAATCAGGTACGTTAAAATCCATGTACACTTGGGAACATCATCCATGAACACTGGAAACATCATCCCTCAGAAACTGATGTTCACAGATCTCTGGCCACATTAAGGTCTCATTTTGCAGATTCAGGACCTTAGTAAGTTAGTGTCCTAATGAAAGACATTTTGCCACTTGAAGCCACAATGCTTGTATGCAAGAGTTCAAAGCACTTGTGGATCGAGTCATTTCATGTATAAATGTTTTGTTGCCGAACTGACCTGTACTTTTATTCACTGCCATAAAACCATGGCAGAATGCATAAGGCAACAGAAGCACATTAAGACAATATCTTTAGAGAAATCTGTTTATATTCAGGTTCAGTGAAGATGTTATACCTCATTAGCTACAACAGAACTGAGCCATTTTCTCATTAGATCATTCAAGTGGAACAACACAAAAGATTTTTCAAGTTTGTCAGTTGCATTTTAGTTGTGCTTTTTTAAAGTGCTTGTTAGAAAGCAAGAATTGAAACCGTATGGTATTGTTTAAGCTTAAAAAGTGCTTTTGATGCTAAGCTTCAAAAGAGATTTTCCCAGCAGAAAGTAGGTTAGCACTTTATTTAGTACTACTTTAAGTTGACACCAAAGCACTCTGTACATAATATTATTTTCTTTTTTTTTTTCTTTCTATTGATTAAATCTCTTCAAGGTTTTCACTGCTGAATTAGAGCTGATTTACAGGAGAGAATCAATTACCATTGTCACTGCACCACAACGCAGCTTTAGCAGAATTAGCAAATCCACAGCCTGGCACGCAGCTTTGCATCGATTGCTACAGGAAGTTGTGCTCACATACTGAGTCTTATAAACTACTAACTATATCTAAAGATGATAAAAATCCTTCCAAAGCTGATTTTGTATCAGTCTYTTGTCATCCATCCCCTATAATTGGTTTATATATGAAAAAGTATTGTTTTGTATCTTTTTTTTTCAGTAACATCAGTTCTGCTGCTTTACAGTAAGTTTSTTCTTGGAAGTGTTCACAGTTTTGTTCCAAACACTTGAGTTTTGTAGCTACTGATGCTTTTGAATGTGATTTTCATAGCTTCTGTTTTTGTCCAACAACCCAYCTAGAAAGCTCAACAGTAAATCTTAAGGCAATGACAGTAATTTGAATAACTAATTCTTTACTGACAAAAAAAAAAGGGTAATGACTGTAATTACTACAAAACAACAACAATAAAAAAAGACATTTCTTTCATAAGGGCCAAGGTGTTGAATCTTTGTTTTTTTCTTTCCTTGCTTTATCAAGGAATTCCAAGTTGCAAACTCCCCAAAAGGCTGTGGACTTCCTGCAGTGCCAGCAAATTTTCCAAGACATGCTCCTCTCAGAATAACAAAAGTGAATCTGAATGAAAACTTAAACCATTTCTTTGGCTCTGATTTTACCTTTCATCACAAACTTGAAAAGCCTCTACCAACTGTGTCAAGTAAAAGTAAGCATAAACAAACATTAAAAGTAAGCATAAATAAAATATTCCTTTCCAGAATACTTCATGTAATTAATACTCCCTCATTCTACCTATCACATGGTCCATATAATACAGTTTTAACAAGGGCATTTTGCTCTTCCCAGAGTATCTTACAAASCAATCTGTCACTAATAAGTTCTGTTTACATTTAAAGCAGTGAAAATCGGAGCAGGTATCATTATTTTTGCTTTGCAATACATTCACATGCCCGTAAGTTTCTAACCAACTTTCCACAGTTGGGAAATACATAACTTTTCAGGAGGAATAGATATATTTTCCAGGTGTTCTTCAGCTTAGTTTTGGCTTTTCAGATCTTCAGATTCAGTCTGAATTGCTGATTGAAGAATTAGCCTTTCAGAGTTTTCAGAAGCTTTRCTTTGTTTTTTAATGACTTATTTGYATGGTAAGCAATAAGCAACTGTAAATCAATCTGTAAATTAAAATTTTAATCTGAAAATTAAAATTTTAGTTGTGCTAAAAATTCTAAGGAAATTATATAACCATTGTTCTGGCTAGGAAAGTTAGGAGGAAGAAAAGGGGAATGAGAGAATTCTTGATAAAGGTAGCTGGGTAAAACCYCATAGGGAGAATATCCATATGCATTTTGTGTTGCAGATAAGTCTGAGAACCCAGGAATTATAACAAATAATCCTCGAGGCATCCATGCAGAAAGAGCTCTTTGCCAGACCAGAGGAGCAGCAGCTAATCTAAATCATTTGGCGCATCACAGTGCTGCTTCCCAAAGCACCCAACAGCATCAGAACAGCAGAGAAAATAAAGGCAGGTGAGGCTGCTCCCAGACTCAGCCACTGCTTTCCTTTTTCTTGGTTTTGCATCCAGGTACTTCCTTCCTTTGACTCGTGCAAAAAAAGAATACTTTTCTTTCTCCAAGTGCTACCAATTTTTCTTCTCCTCAGTTTCCAGCTCCATTTCCACCAAAAATGTGCTTTCTGTCCTTCTTCTGGTGAAACTCACAATGCGTCTAGAAAGACAGAGAAGAAAATGACTTATAATTTTGCAATTAGAACAAAAACTCTAAAATTGGGTCAGCTGTTTCACAGAAATAAGCTTGTATCACCCAAATCCCTGTTAATCCTATTCTATTGATAGCTCGAGACTTTGGGGTTTATTCTTTGTTTTCAGTTGCTTGCTATCTTGTTTTGTTCAGTAACCAAAAATATTAAGTACAGGAGCAGGAATGCAAAATGAAGCTGTTACTCTGACTAAATATATCTGAAAATTGTGAAACTGAYAACAATATTTTGCTATTATTGAGTGCCAGCAACTGAAATAGGCCAGTGTGTGGTGAAGTATTACACCAGTTTTTCTTTTTCTATCAAATACTTCTCTACAATGGGGAAATGAACAGACAGRTTTGATGCTATGATTTTTACATTTCCATCTTGATTAAAATCTACTGTCTGAAAACATTCCTTCAAAATCAGTTCAAAATCAGTGAGATGATTCTTTGTGGAATGAATATTGATAGTTGCTTTTCTTGAAGGATTCAGTCTCAAATGGGCATTTTTCTTAGGCATTTTTCATACATTATTACACCTGTAAACCATGGTATGAAAAATGTGTTGCCTGAAAAAATGTGTGAAGTAWCTGTGAGTTTTATTTTCCTAATGAAAAAGAGACAGCTGTTTAAGGGTCTGTTCCCAATGATGTTTCTCACACATCCATCTATCACTGGTGTTTCCATCTGCACGGAGGTGATAGGAACAGTTGCCACAAAACCTCTGAAAGGGTAAAACACTTGGAGTGAACCGTATTCTGCAAGGTGGTACCATGCTGATACACATATTGCTGATAAGACAGCACTGACCAGAGGAAGGGACATTACTCATCACAACTGATTTCCACAGCGAAAATTCCCCCTAAGCATAGATTTAAGCTGGGCTCTCTTCACTGGACTGAATTCTACCTTAACTGCCTGCTATCCAGGACACTTTTACAGGCACTGGGTGAGGTTTCACTCATAAAATAGGGTTTTCTGACTCAAAGCAGGATGTATGACTCCTTCCCTGTGTTGTGGATTGAACACATAAAAAAACACATGGACAGCGTGTATTTTTAAATAAGGTAGGTGAGAAGGTGTAGCAAGAATTCTCTTTTACTGGGTATGTTTGCCTTTCTTCACAGGCCACCTGTGTTCTTTCATCTCTTCTCATTTCTCCCAGCATGTTGTAATATTACAAAACTCTACATAAGGAGTCTGTGAGGTTCAAATTTAATTTTCCTTTTTATAAAATCCAACACACAAAACTTAGAAGAACACAACAAAGGCATCCAGATAGTCTTAAAAAGTYCTTGCCTGTGATTAAGCAACACTAGCGATGTCGTCCCAGGTTAGATGCAGTGGCATTTTAGGACAAATCAGGACTTTCTTTAATCTTCTCCCTCATGGCTTCACTCCAGGCAGTTTAAGTTATTAATGTATCTTAACTATATGTTTCCTACCTTACTGTAGCTTTCTTTGAAGTATTATCTTCCTTGAGTTTCTTCAGTTTAGAACACTCAGCTTGAGGATAGGTTTACCATCTCTTAGTATTTTTACATTTATGACTAATATTTGTGCATTAATTTCTATTTTAATTGATTTTTTTCTTTAGCAATGAGAAATTCATACAACCCTAAATAAGAGACCCAGCAAGAATGGGAGGTTACTCAGATTTCCTTATTTCAGGTGCATGGGATCTGTTTTTAGTATCTTTTTTTTTTTAAAAAAGTTCAGGGAAGATTCTCTCCTCTATCAAAGCAAAAAGACAACAGTAAATATTCCAGCTGTGCTGACACTTGCTTTGCATCACCAGAAAAGTGTGAAGATATTAACTCATGCATCTCTTCCTTAATTTAAAGTCACCGAGTTAGTTTGTATTGTAACATAAATTCAACATGGACCACGGATCTAGGGCGGGAGGAAGATCCAAGAGCATAAGGTTTCATTTTTAAGGTTTCTTCAGATCTTCTGAAAATGCTTTTTCAATGCCAAGGGTCTGTTGCATTTGCTCCCCTGTTATTCAAGGTATGAATAACATACCTTGAATACATGAACATCATTCAAGGTATGAATGCAGCCATGAGATGCTTTGAGAGAGCCACAATTCATTTACCAGTGCGGACTTTAATTCACTGTGTCCAGTCTCTTGTGCTAGCAAGTTCTGGAACTGTTGTGTGAATATTAGTGAATAGTAACTGTGGATGTCACAGGGTGATGGCTTGATGTACCAATATTAACTCAGTCACTCTKTGGAGTCAGCAGAATCTTATCCTAAGTCTACTCATGACCTATTTAATCAACACATGCTTTTTATTAATAACTTAGATATACTGCCACCTAATTTATTTAAGTGTAGTCTATGCATAATATATATATTTCTYTTGAAAGTTTAAAATGAGTATGTTTCTCCTCTTTTTGATCAGAAGGAGRAACAACCTAGACAGGAAGGCAAAGCTCTTGAAAGATGCAGTTTCATCTCATTCTGTTTCCAAAAGTAACCAAAGGGGTTGCTTGAATTCTCTTAGATTTCTCTGAGATTTCTTAGAGCTCTGGCACAGGCTCCCCAGGGAGGCTGTGGAGGCTCCTTCTCTGAGATCTTCCCAACCCACCTGGATCCGACYRGGTGCTCTGGGTGTCCCTGTTGGAGCAGAGGATTGGACTAGAYGATTTCTAGGGATTCCTTCCAACCTCAACCATTCTCTGATTCTTTGATTATTCACTCTTTTAGAAAGCTCATTTATGTTTGGAGAAGGCCCAAGAAAAGTAGTTCAAATCCCTACCTACTGTGCAAAGCTGAACTTTGCTTTTATTGGTCGAGTCCCCATMGCAGTCCCCTGCCTGTAACATAACTTCTTTTTGTTTGTTTGTTTGAATATTAAGATATTCCAACCTTCAGCATGCTCATTTTTAATTATTGTAGTTGTAAATCATATTTCAATAGACAGCAAACTCCACCAAAAAGAAGTGATCAAAAAGAGATATTTGAACTGGAATGGAAACATCTGTGTTTGAGAGCATTGTTTTTTTTATCCTTCAATGGCACAGAGCAATAGGGGATCACTACATCCATCACCCAGTTGCAGATGAGAGTGATAATGAGATAATAATGCATTATTATCTTACGGGGTTCTTTGAGGTCACCTTCTGGGACACAGGCTCCCTCACGTTGGCTCTGTGCAGTTTTCATGCTGTGATTATGCAAGTGGAGCAGCTTTGAAAGCTTTCCGAGTGTCCAGAGAAATCAGCAGGCTAAATGGGATGAAGTTAACGACGCAACAGGATATTTATTAACTTCTACAGGCATCATACTCTGCTTGTCATTTGTAAAGCACGTGTTCCCGTGGGGAATAGGATACCTGCTTTTCAGTAGGATTGAAACTGGTGCTGTGTTTGGGTCTTGCAGAGCCGAAAAAGCAGTAACTACACATGTTTACAAATCTGGCCCTAAGGGGCTTCAGTATCTGATCTTTGTGAATGATCTCTTCATTAACTTAAAAAAAAAAAGTTATTAAAATGCTTGAAAAGCACATGTATGTACTAAAATATACGTTAAAATCTAAACCTGATGTGCTAGTCACAGAATTCCTTCAGCAAAGTCCTGATTTTATCCATGAATTGAACAAAATAAAGGTACCATAGCACCTGACTCAACAGGCTATTAACGTCTTAACTTTTCTAAGCTAATGTATGTATCTATATATTTTTAAGTAAAGTCTCTATGGTTTGACTTTGAATTGTTTCTTTTTTTTACAGGAAGAAAACCACTAACCTCTCCAAACAAAATTGACCGTAAGAGTCAATAACATCTTTGAAAATGAGAGAAACTCTGGGAAAAATTTTTCCTGAGGATTGCTCCACAAACTGGAGCATGTGTTACAGGAGGGAGAATGTGGCCCTTTGTACTTCATTCCCAATCCCAGTACAAGAATAAATTATGAATGAATGAAACGTGAATTAACTAATACAATTCTTGAATTCAGTAAAGCAAGCATCTAAACATGTAAAATATCTGAATCCTAAAGCTCTTGTCGCTAACCTTATTATAATTTAGTAAACAAATTCCCAAATTTAGTTGAGAAGTAGTCTGCAATCAATGTGATTTCTTCAGATTTCCACTGCTGAAATGCAGGGCAGAGGTTGATCTTTTCACTTTGAGTCTTTACTGTATTTTTCCCCCTACAACCTCATGATCTGAATTAATTTCTGTTCTAATACACTGGGAARATATCATGGATGGTGGTATAATGAATTTTCTTGTAAAGTTAAGGAAGAAAGTCATCAATGTGTATTGAGTCAAGGTTTTATGCTGCTGAATTTACAATGCAAATTTTGTTTAGTTGTTCAGAAATGCAGTTATAGGCAATAACAAAAATTGCCACTTGGTTATAATACATTTACTATATCCATAGAGACCTCATAGTTATATGTATATATGCATATATGTGTGTGTGTGGACATGTGTGAACAAATAYGAACACTGAAAGTACATCTGAATACAAGGTTATGGACCTCAATATTGCACTCATTAAAAAAATAATAATTTTTAAAATTATGTTTTTGTATATCACAGGGTTTCGCTGGTATAAACGACCAAGCTATCAACATTATTCTACCTAATTGCTTATAGTTGGTAAAACTGTAAGTATTTTAATGTTATTTAAATATTTTAAAAGTAAATGTTAGTAAGTTACCATGTTATTCTTTAAAGTGCTGAAAAGATTTTAGAGTGCTATCTCTAATGTAAGAGCTTRCTTTAGAGGCTTAATATATTTTTCATCACAATCACTTCACATATCAGGTCAAATTAAATGGCTACTGAAGTTATTGTGATTTTTAAATTCCACAGTGTCAGCTGGTATGCTTAACCTGGAGACAAACATCATTTTCTGGGAATTAAATGTGGAAGAAATAATTAGGTTCGTATTTTTGATCTAAAGGAGAAATCAGTGTTAGGCTATTTGGAAGTAGATGGCAGGTAGTAAGTGCAGGGACTGTGCCCAGCCTGCAGATTGCTTTTTTGGGGAGACCCCTTCTCCTCTCGTGGTTTTCTTTGTCTCGTGTGCGCTTTGCAGCACAGCCACGAGGTGTCTTTGTTGCACTGTGGATTTTCTAGATCAGGGCGACCAAGGCATGTTAGCAGTATATATAATAACAGAAACTCCTCTGGCTTCTTCCAGGCTAATGTATGTTTTTACCAGTGTGAGAGATCACAGATAAAAGTTTAGGTCYCCCCTTGCTCTTTACAAGACCAAGAAAGAGCAGCAAAGTGCTTCAGAGCTCAGCAAAGGTCTGTGAAGACATGTGTCACACACGACTTCRCTCAGATTATCTTTGATTTTCCATGAATTTTATGCCCTGACGTCTTGGGAAATAGGTCTGAGTGTCACTGGTTTTAATTTTTACACCAAARAAATAGATTATATCTACAGGCTGTTATCTGCTGGCAGGCCAGGTGGAGGGACCCCATAAAGACATAGCAGTTGTGCTCAGGAGAGCAGTTTGACCTCTGCAGAGAGCCCAAGGGAGCCTCTTTCTGTAAAGTCTAAATGCACAACTCGATGAATGCCAAATCAGAAACATGTGTACCCCCTCTATCTTTCCTTCTCCAGACTTATCTGTGCTCGTGCATATTATTTTTTTTCCATGTCTTTCAGGGCTTTTAAATTCTGTCTTTGCCTGTTGCCTGGATTTTTTTGAGTGTAAAGTTTTGTAATGGAAGCATAATTCTATTCTTGGAAATAACTGCACTCCATTAAAACACATTTTCAGTATCTCTAGTTTTACAAAAAAAAATGATTATGAGTAACAGTCTAATTAAAGATAGTTAAATGCAGAAGCATCATAAATATTTATACAGGACACTCACATTGCCTGGCTTTTAGAATAGCCCTCTTCATGTCTCAGACACATTGGTACAACACCGAAGATTTAATACCATGTATATCAGTGTCAGAAAATTAAAATTTGGGGAGTTGCCTAAAATTTACCCATCATCTCCCAAAATTAACTTGATATATCTAAGAACATTTTGCTTGCTTTTAATCCATGCTCCTAATCTGCAGCTGTGAACGTGATGAAAGTGTGGCAGAAGGGGCTGCATCAGGAAGGCCTTGAGGGTTGTACTCTTACACCTCTGCTTCTCTGGTGTAAAATTTGGGCTTGTTATCCCCAAGCATGGGGATATTTGTTGGCATTGAAGCGTGCTGGAGGCCCGTGTCGTCCTCGCTGAGCTGTGTGTGTCTGTGAGCAGCCCCTCTGCCGCGGCCGTTGCGGTGGGAGGTGGTACCGTTTTGTGAGTATCAGCAGACCCCGCTTTGCCAGGGCCAGCCCAGGCCTAAGTGGTCAAACGGTTCACAGACAGTTCAGCAGGAAAACTTTAATTAGGCTCCTGACAAGAAAAGGGATAAAGCTTCCAGGAAAATCTCAGACGGGGATTTAAAGGTGAGTGGTAGACACACGCAYAGTGCTTTGGCTGGATGTGCCCGGGATTGTCTGCGGTTGCTTATCAGTCTGTTTTGTGGGAAGGATCTCAATAGAAGCCTCTTCCGAGCATCTTTGTTGAATTTATTTCAACATCCTCTGAAAGGAGCAGACTTGCCTCTGCACACASCACGAGGAAATTGGGCCCTGTGAATTTTAGCAATGCCACAAGCAGAGAACAGTGTTGATATTATATATGCATTAAAATCAGTGGGACATTTTGCCTAAAAAAAAAAAAAAAAAAGCAGAGGTATCCCTTAGTTTTATTCTGGCTTCTGAGTCTAAAGAACAATGAAGCTTCTCTTTACAATAAACACATTTTGCAGCCAGGCTTGTTACGTTCTGTGTAAAACACAAAATGAAACCTTGGGGCCTAGAGACGGATCTGCTGCCGAGGCCTCGCTTCTGTGACCGTCCCCTGGGCACAACTGCCAACACAGGAGTCTGTCTGTTGCCCTGTTATATAATTTGGTATAAAACTGATGGCTAAAATAAACCCAAAACTTGGAATCTCCCCATCTGTGTAGGAGCACAGGCATTTAAAAGGTGCTGTCCCATTTCAGCAGCTCTTTTCATCAACCATTTAATTCTTCTAAATGGATTTTGCTCTTCCTCCCATTACGGCTTTCTCCACTGCCTCCATGAAACATTATTTGCATAAAAGGACCTAAATAATTGAGAGAGGATGTGAGCAAGAGCCTAGCACGCATCTTGGTTGGGGTTTGCTGGTAATCCCAGTGAGTCTAACACATAGCTCATAGCTTGTTTAATGGGATGGAAAGTGACAGGGTTTTCTTGTACCGCTGCTATAGAACTCATAGCTTCTGAATGACCTCCTTGTACTTAGCTGCTTTTCTTGTTGATCTCGCTGCTCTTTCCCTCCATTAACRGGAGAAATCCTAAAGGCAGTGATACAGTATGCTGCAATTTGCGTCCTCGTACACCACAAAATACTGCTCGATTGTCCCATTAAAGTCAAAGCCTGGGCATAGCTTTCATTTACAAGTGCGTTTGATGTTGAATTTAAGCCTGAGTTTGTTTTTTTGTTTGTTTGTTTGTTTCTTCTCCTTATTAAGACTTTTTGCTTGCAAAGACTCAACTAAAATTGTAATATGCAGAGTATGCAAATTAATTTTGATAGTGTTCTGTAACAGAAGTGATGTGCTGAAAGTCTGCTGCATTTTAGATGTCTCCACTTAGTGAGATGACTGTCAAGATGAATATATCCATTTCTGAAAAGAGAAAAAAAAACGCACACAAGTAATATATCTTATAAATAAAACATGCTTGACAGTTGTCTGAAAAATAACCTAAGAATAAATTAAAATCCAATAATTATTCTCTTAGAGCATTACAGCATTCTGAAGTGTATATTTTAATGATAAACAGCAATATTCGGAGAGTCAGGAAACAGCTGGAACGATTAGTATTTTGTTGGTGAGGGAGCTGTCTCAGCTGCCCTGACAAGCAAGCTGCCATTTTCGATGTAATCACTTTTGATTCTAAAGCACTTGCTTTGCTTTTAACTTGGCGCAAATCCCTCTTGATAGTTCTCTTTTTAAGGTAAGATGTATTTCCGTATGTCTGTAAAAGTTTCCTGGACAATTCAGCAAGCTGCTCAGAATGACTTCCCTTACTCCTGTTGGGCAATTTGTGAAATGAGGTTTCTTTGTTTATTAAGTGTACATGAACATAATGCAAAACATACTTAATATCATTAGCCATTGCACAGATGTTCCTTGCTGAAAGGATACTTAAAGTTTCACTGATTTAATTAACCTGCTCTTTTTTTTTTTTCCTCCCATTTATAAAGCAATTTCTTAAGGACTTTTTCTATTCCTGACAAAATATGGTGTTTTATGGTATAAATATTTATTTTAAAAAGAGAGAGCTTTCTGGAGCCTTTGAAAAGGAATATTTGAGAATTATTTAAAAAAAATGAGAATTACTTTTCTTTAAACCAAAGCTATGAAAATAATAACCATGATCCAGATATTTCTGTCCATTCTGCCATTTTCTTTCTTTCTTTCAGAACTGTGTTCTGAAGAAGAACACATGCCTGACTTTTTTTGGAGAAAAGGTTTTCTGTGACAAAAGCTACAGCATGGCTTATTTTATTAACGCCTTGATATTTTATTCCCCCAAATGTTTTATATGTGCTTTTTCAATTCCCCTAAAAATGAAGAGCAAACAAATATATATCGGTAGCATTTTTAAATTTCAGTTCTTATTCCTTCCCGTCAATTTGGCTGAAAACAGGTATTTGCAAACACTGGTAGCCTAATTTCTTATGGCCTTTCATTTTTT